TCCGTCATCGCTATAGCTTTCGGAACCATAAAAGTAAACATTCGCACCATGCTGTGCTTTTCAGTGCATCACAGTGTCTTATTATAAGTATTAGAGTAGGGTTTGTTTATATAGCGGCATAGAGCTATTTTATAATTTCCACTGTTTGTACAATTTTGCATAACGTAAAGAGAATATTAAATACACGCACATTGTTAAAACATATTAAAAGGATCAATGTCAAATATAGTTTTCGTTTATATTCCTAGAAAAAGTGGATACATTTTAATAACATAATAACAGTACGGTAGAAAAATCAAATTAATTTAACTCTTTTCTAATTTTGACAAAGGAGGTAATTTAAAAATACATTAAACTCACGCTAATAAAAAATGTGAATGCAAATATACGTTCGTCATAGAAGGAATTTGTGTTGCAATAATATAATTAGCAAAATGTGAATGCAAATTATTCGGATGTGTAAGAGGAAATTATTGTTAGAAAATTATAATTAGCATGGATTGATAAAAGGCAATCTTTTATTTATTTTATTCATTGAATGTAGGCCCTACTGTTTATTACTTATAATTTTTAATTATAGACGCGTCATCACGTTCATTAGGTGCGCAATGGTTTTAGTTATGAAACTCTTTTGTAAATTTTTAAAATTTAAAGTACTGGAAAAAAAATGCGTGAATGGATAAAGTGAAATAGTGTAGGTAAAACACGGTATTTTAAATACGGCCTATTATTTATACTGTTTTCTAATTATTATTCTATCTTTCGGGTTTTATAGGAGAGGCGTAGCGAGGGGGGGGGGGGGCATATGTCCCCGGGTGCCGACCTTAAGGGGCGCCAAAGTGGGTTGGAAAAAATTTGCGAGGGGGGGGGGTGGAAATCGAAAGTTTTAGGGCGGGTGGGTGGAAGGGGTGCAAATCGAAAGTTTGAGGGGGTTGCAAATCACCGGAAAGGGCGCGATTTGGCGCTACGGGCTAGACTGTGAGCAATATGCCTTTATGATTGCATTTAAATTGTGTTTATGTTATGAGTGTTGTGTTTGTTTTTTCGTTTGTGTTTTTTTTTTTTGCGTTCGTTTGTGTTGTGTTTCGTTATGTTCTGTTCCCAAGTTGGTACAGTTAAAAAAGATTTACCGTGGCGGAGCACGGGATGCAGCTAGTCTATAATATAAGCGGGCTGTGTCTGTCCGTCATCGCTATAGATTTTGGGACTATAAAAGTAAACTTCGCACCATGCTGTGCTTTTCAGTGCACCTCAGTGTCTTATTATAAGTGTTAGAGTAGGGTTTGTTTATATAACGACATAGAGCTATTTTATAATTTCCACTGTTTGTACAATTTTGCATAACGTAAAGAGAATATTAAATACATGCACATTGCTAAAACATATTAAAAGGATCAATGTCAAATATCGTTTTCGTTAATATTCCTAGAGAAAGTGGATACATTTTAATAACATAATAGCTGTAGGTTAGAAAAATCTAATTAAACTGTTTAGTAATTTTGCCAAGGGAGGTATTTTAAAAATAAATTGAACTCACGCTAAAAATGTGAATGCAAAATCTGCAAGACGGAATAATTGTTGGAATAATATAATTAGCAAAATGTGAATGCAAATTATGCAGACGTGTAAAAGTACATTATTGTTGGAATATTATAATTAGCATTGATTGATAAAAGGCTATTTTTTATTTATTTTATTCACTGAATGTAATGTTTACCACTTATAATTTTTAATCAACTATTAAGCACTATTATAGACGCGTCATCACGTTCATTCGGTGCGCAATGGTTTTAGTTATGAAACTCTATTGTAAATTTTTAAAATTTAAAGTACTGGGAAAAAATGCGTGAATGGATAAAGTGAAATATTGTAGGTAAAACACGGATATTTTAAATACTGCCTATTATTTATACTGTTTACTAATTATTATTCTATCTTTCGGTTTTAAATTGTGTTTATGTTATGAGTGTTGTGTTTGTTTTTTCGTTTGTGTTTTTTTTTTGCGTTCGTTTGTATTGTGTTTAGTTTTGTCCTGTTCCCAAGTTGGTACATTTAAAAAAGATTTACCGTGGCGGAGCACGGGATGCAGCTAGTATATAAATATCCGAATTTAGCACAACTATTCCTTCCCTACTCCCCCGAACGAAATATAATTTATATAGAAAATTTAAAACAAATGAACTTTTACCAGTGTCCGCCCCCCCCCCCTTCGAAAAATTTAGCACGAAAGACCCCACCACCTGAAAGTTTCAAGAGCGCTACCCCCTCCCGCTCACCCCCGGAGAAAAAAGTCTGAAAGAAACACTGCTATTCCCCATCGTATTTAGCTGTTAAGAAGCAGTGTAGAATCCAGTGTTTCTTCCATACTTTTTTCTCCGGGGGGGGGGGGGGGGGCACCTGAAATCTTCGGGGTGGCGGTAAACTTTCTTCGGGGGGGGGCGGACACTGTTAAAAGTATATATTTTCTATATAAATTATGTACATTTCATTTCGTTCGGGGGGGGGGGGGGGAGGGGGCGTTAAAAAAATTTCGAAGAGTTGCCAGTAAGAAACTCTGGTAGACTCCATGAAATGTAAACTGATGCCCTCACGGTATGGGATGGGGCGCTTCTTCACCAATATAAATATTAAAATTTGGGGGGGGGGGGGTGCACATTTGTTAGCGCCCGGCGCCGGAAAGGGTCGCGTAGACAGGACTCATCATTCTGTGTAAAATGTGTCCATTTTGATTTTAAAGCAAGATTTAAACTGTCGACACGCTATAACCAGACATCAAGCGTGTAACAGATGTAGCTTTGTCGTCCGATGGTGAACGAATGTATTAACCCCCCCCCCCCCCCCTCAGGAAGAATTGATTTTTATTTGTTAAATTATATCGATTTTTGGGTGCACAAAAATAAAACCCAGAAGGCCGAAGCCCCGGAAATTTTTCGCTGACGTGACGTGCTTGAACGCTCCTCGGATTTTTTGCAATAGTGAGGACGTTCTTTGTGCGCATGTCCTTATATGGGTGTTTTCATGTTTTATAATTTTAAGTTTTTACAAGATGTGGGTGGGGGGTTAATGGATGTTTAGTTGTTAATTAGATAATAAATGAACTGTGATTTCACACAAGTATCAGAAGGCAATTATTGGTTGGAATATGTCAGAGAACAGTTGATGCCAGGCAAAGGCGTAGCGACGGGGGGGGGGGGGTACATATGTCCCCGGGCGCCGACCCTAGGGGCGCCAAAATAAGGTCATTTTAGCTGTTATTTTGAATTACAAATATAAAAAATATATGGGGGGGGGGGGGGGGCAAATTTAAAGTTTGTCCCCGGTCGCCGGGAGGGGTCGCTACGCCTCTGATGCCAGGTTCCAATGTCAGTAGCTGTTTTACAAATGTCTAGTAACAAGATAAAATCATATGACACATGTCAAATGACAATTCCCGGTTCTAATGACAGTAGATGAATAAGGGACAAAGACCAGGTACCAAAATTAGTGGCCGAGGACGCAAAGTAAATTAATGCTTCATTACTCATATACCGTTTACCCCCTCTCTTTCGGACAGTAGACGTGCTTTGAGGGGGGGGGGGAGATGCCTGAAAGAAACTCTGATCTAGTTTCATCTCGACAGTCTCAGTTGCCTTGTGCGTAGAGTTGTATTTTGCTGTCTTGTTCATGTTTCTTTATTCTGTTTTTGTTGCGTTGTGCATTTGTAGATTTGTGTGGTACTTTTCATTTTGTTTTTTCTGTTTTGGTAGTTTTTATTCTGCTCTGTTGATTTTGTTTTCTTTGTATTTTTTTAATCTCATGTTGTGTTGGGCTTTTGATATTTTAATTCTGTTTTTGTTGTATGTTGTGATGTGTTATGTGTGTTGATATTTTAAACCATGCTTTTTTTTTCAACAGTCCAATATTAACGGCATTAAATAAACACCTAATATAGACACTAATCATACAACTTCAAAACTTTTACAAAGTTAAAATCCTGACACAATGCATAAGCATGAAATCATTTTTAATTGTACATAAACATATCACAGAATACTCTCATTTAACAAGCCATTACATCTACAATATAAATATTATAAACAAGAATAAATCTATTGTGGAAAATTCTTTACCGCAATATAGAGTTTTTTATGTGACCGGAATTAATATGCCCTGACTCTTCAAGTAAAATTAATACTTAAACTATTTTTTTGGAATAAAAAACAGTGACGGGCTGTTTTTCTGATTATAACTAAATTAACATCATCTTTTCCTGTTAGTGTCCAAGACACATGGGGCAGATGAAGTAGAGTTCACCTGTTTCAATGACCTCAGCATACAAGGGTATAATGTGGTCAGCACTATGCCCAGCTGCCTTTGTGAGTGAGTTAGGTACCCATCAGAGCTTGGTGGACTCTGATTGAACCCGGATTTGAACTCGAGACTTTCAGGTTAGCATTCTAGTGCTCTATATTTAGGACACGGCGTCTCCTTAAATTAACTCAGAAAATATATGATTTAGATGGGATGGTGAGGTCAAGCATTAGGTCATGTGACCGCTGACCTCTAAGTTTTGTTCCCTGAGTCCACCCAGCTCTGATTGAGTAGCCTAACTGAGTCAGGGTAGGGCTTAGGTCCACAATCACTTCACACCCCAAGGTCACAGAAACATAACTCTACTTCACCAACATCTGTTATTTCTTACTTTAACTAGTTAAACAGTGCCTAACTTAAAAATAAAATACTTAAGCAGCATGACTATTCATTTTATTTCATATAATCAAGCAACAATATTTCTCAAATGCTTACATTTTATTTATCAATCTATAGACTGAAAATAAAATAACTTTTACAAGCTTATTATATTATTAAGTTTGTTTTCTTGTTTTTGGTCTAGTTAAGTTTTAGTTGCTTTAGAAGTCTTTTCATTATACCTTAGCAACTAAATATAAATTAATAAAATTATGTATTTACTATTAAAATTATGCAAAAAAAAAAAAAAACACTTTTTTTCTGGTTTTTTACTTTAAAAAGTTTGTAATTTTAAAAAAAAATTTTTTAAACCTCTGTACAAGGAAATTTCTTGGCACTTTTTTTTTTGGATTAAAATGGTTGTGATTTTTTAAATATTTAAAAACATATTTTTTAAAATCATTTGTAAAATATTTACATTTTTTTTAAAGGAAAGTTTTGGCAAAATATTTGGACATGTCTTCCTCTACCTAGAAGAGAAAAGTTCAGCTCTCAGCTCTTCTGTTTTGGAGTTTAAATTCAAATGTATATCAGGGGAGACAAACTCCCCCTCAGGCTGCAGTTCAACATTGCCAGCAGTGTTGTGGGCAGCTTGTGTTTCCTCCCTTGTTGCTGGTGCACTGACTGGTCTGTGCTTGCCCCTGTGGTGTATCTGCTGTGGTGCTCCCAACACAACACTTACATTAGCACGGGTTTTGGATTTGATCAGCGTCTATTAGAAATAAAAACAGCAAAGGATGCTAGGAAAATAATGTATAGGGAGTGAGGGTTTATTCTGCAAGTATCATTCTCTAAAAGTTTAGGGACATAGTAAAAATAGCTTAAATATAAAATGCTTGTGTTTTATCTATTTACTGCTAAAATTTGTTTACAAGTTTGTATTTTTGTGTTGTTGTTTGTCTGTTCTGTTAGATGAGAGCATCTGCACTATGTGCAGAACTGTAAAATACATATGTATGTAGAGAGAATTGTTCTTTTTTCCCCCAAATGTAAAATACTAATTTATTTAAAGACAATAATCAATTTATTGATATATATTTATTTTAATTTTATAAGTTCAGAACAAATACTTTATTTTTTAAAAAACAGAAACATGTGTGATGTCTTTTTAGATGTGGGGACTGGCTTTATGTGATGATTACAATGTTGGATTAGGAATTTGCATTTCTGTTATATCAGGTGGTGTCAACGTAATGCTACCAGTAAAAAAAAACCTGTGATAAACATTTCTGGCCATCATACAAGTACCAGACACCACATTCTCTTTTTGTGTAGCAATGGCCATGTAAACAGCTCTACTTCCTCTGCCTCACAAAGTATCTGTCCTTGACAGAGAACATGCTCACTAACCTGCATGGTCTCTTTGGCTGTCTTCACCTGAAGCTGGGTCTGGTGGTCTGTGTGAGTTTTTTCATCAAACAGCTCGCCGCATTTCTGAACAAACAATCTCCTACAAACAATTCATTAATTATTTTAATTAATATGACAAACATTAGGAATAATTAAATTCATACGTTTTCTAAAGAATTAAAATAAATATATTCTAAAAGGTATAAATTTTAATTAAAAAATTAATTGCTAAAATAATAAAATGTACACATTTTTGAAAAAAAAAAATGTATTTTAAAAAGATATAAATTGTAGTTTAAAATTTAATTACTAAAAGCTCAACAATGGTAGCTTATCATGAAAGAGTGCAAAATTCTTAGCAGACCAGTATGAGAGTATGTGGATGCAAGATGTTAAAAAAAAACAGTTAAGTTTGAGGGTGTATGGCACAGAAATTTAAAACCAGAGAATGAAATATACATTTAAAACCATATAAGTTTGGCACAGTTAGTAAAAAAATCTGGAGATAAAAAGAAAGAATGTGTACAGTACTTGAGTTCTGTGTTTTGTGTCATCAGATCCTGCAGCTTGTGCCTGTACTTGTCGTCAACCAGCGCCACCTTCTCCTGGAACCTTTCTTCATACTCCATCAGCCTCACTTTCTGTTGTACATGGGGACATTCAGAGCACACAATTTTACATTGTTGTTTTACATTGGGACATTCAAAGTGAATTATTTGATACATGGGGACATTCAGAATGCACAATTTTACATTGTTGTTTTATTGTGGGGAAATTCAAAGTGAACAATTTTATATATGTTTTACATGGGGACATGTTCACAAATAATTTTTTAAAATAAAAAGACATTAAAAGTGCACACTTTTACACTTAAAAGATCAAATTTTTTTTGATATTTCTGCTTTATATTAGGACATTCAAAGTGCACAATTTTACATTTCTGTTTCATATTGGGATATTTTAAGTGCACAATTTCACATTTTTTTTAACAATGGAAAATTCAAAGTGTACAACTTTAAATTTCCTAACCACTGAGGTATATTTACTTGATTCCCTTCACGCTAAACTGATGTTGTGGGGGAGGGAGGCAAACAATCAAGATTTCACACTGAGTGACTCAATATTTAAATCCAAATAAAAAGCTTACAGATGGCCCCACCCCCACCAGTAAGATTGATAAAGCCAAAACTCACTGAGTCTGTCAGCAGTCTTGTTGTGCTGGCCAGTTGTAAACATGTTGTGTTGTAGCTCTCCTTCACACTCTCCAACTCTTGTTTTGTTTCCTGGTTTTCAGTTTTTTAAACAATGCAACTTTTTAACAATCAGTGTACAAATAAACAACCCTACTGCTGTTAGATATTTAGATTGTGATGTACATGTAACAGTAAATAAACTACTTACATGGCTTTCACTAAACTAAGGGGTCGTCCATAAACGGGGGAGGTAAAAATCGTCAAAAAAAGCGACACGTCGTTTATGGATGACCCATTAGAAAATGTGGAAACAATTTTAATCTATCTGTTAGACCAGTATAGTGTAGTCCAAACCAAACAAAAAAAACAGCCTCATAAATTTTGAAGAATGTTAAATTCTTTCCTTACCTCCAGCTCAACAGTGACTCTCTTCAGCTTTTCTATATCAGCAGCGGCATTTGAGAACCTTCTCAACAAGCTCTACAAATAAATAAATACATTACAAATTGTGGGATGGCGTGGTCAAATGGTGGAGCATCTGGATACTAGCCAAGAGGTCTCAAGTTTGAATCTTGGTTCGAACTGTAGGACCTTCCAGCTATGATAGGTACTTGACTTACATTGGGGAAAGTAAAGACGGCTGGGGAGAGTACTGACCATATTATCCTTTTGCTGAGGTTAAGAAACATGAACTCTACTGCCCAATGGATTGTTAGGGCTAAAGAGGAATCTCTAATTTACTTTTTTCATATTTCCATATTTATATTAACTTCTTGTTTTAAATGTTTTTCAACTTCTTGCTCATTTAAAAAATAGTATTATGCTTTTGAGAGTGAGCATTCTATGACCATTTTAAAAAAGTACCCAACAAAGTAAATAAAAATATAGAGACCTGCAACACAGTTATCTTTCCCCTCTAAAAAAGGGAAATAACCTGTCTTTACTTTTTTTTTACTAAGTTGAGAATCAAGATTTCCAAAAAGTTGCAAAATTACAAGTGGTATAGTTTATAACTCACATCTAATTCTCTTTTGTTTTCTTTCCTCAAGGCATCAATTGCTTGTTTATGCTCTTTTTCAACCTTGGCCCTTTCTTGATTTTTTTCATGAATTAGTTTTGTTCCTAAATAAATAGAAAAATAAATAAATATATACATGTTGATATAAATTATTTAGTAAGGTGAAAATTTGTATCTAGCTAAAACATCAGCAGATCTGCACAATATTGTATCCAGAGTTTTTTGTGTGCTGTGTTTGCATAAGGGTTAGGATAAGGATCAACATGTAAGTTAGGGTTACAGTAGTATTTAAAAAAAAAGCTTCAACACACCACACAAAAGATCTGATATTTCAAATAAAATTTAACAAGCAAATCAAATTTAAAACAATATCAAAATAAGAAATCACACTTTAACAGTTGATAACACATTTCACCAAGTGTTAAGTTTAAATTTTCTCAATTGTTGGTGTTAGATCACCTCACTTTCACTTATTCTTTGTGGTCCATGAGTAAAAAAGGACTACCGCCACACCTCTCCATCAGACTCAGTTTTGGGCATCTCTCTTTATTTGCATGTTAGTGTAAGATGATGAGTACAAAAAAGGCTGGACAAGGCATACAGGATACTAGAGATGGGAAACTTCCTTAACTTCATGATACATGTGAAAATTACATTAAGTAGTAAGATGGAAAACTACATGCGCATACAAACCACTCACTCATCTCATGCATGGCTTGCTGTTTCTCCGCAGCAAATTTCAGTCTCATTTCATCCTCCTTCTCTTTTAGCTTCTCACTGGTTTCAGAGTGGAGTGAACTTTTGTAGGAATCAAATGCACTTTGTAGGAATTCAATTTCTTTGGCCATTTTACCTGATTACAAAAGTTTTAAAAATATAATGTATTTTGTAGCAATTCAATTTCTTTGGCCATTTTACCTGATAAAAATATTTTAAGAATCCAATGCACTTTGTGGGAATTCAATTTATTTGGCCATTTTAATTTTCTGATAATTTTTTATGAACATTCTACTTACTAATTTGTTTCTCCAATATATTTTGTACTTCTTTATGCTCTTGTTCCAAAACTTGTTTTTGTTTGTTCATTTCTTCCTGGTGATCTGCTTCTAGGTCTCTATTGATGTAGACCATAACGAAAAATCACATGATAAACAACTGTTGTTCAAGTGTATGTGGGACAAGTGTTGGAATGGGTGGGGGGAATGAGTGGCAGTATGGGTGGCAGCAGCCAGTGACTTCCAGTTCTAAAGGCCAAAAATGTTGTCTAATAGCTTTAAACAAAATATAAATAGTCTTTGGGTGAGTAGTTAGAAGGACCAAGGGATAACTCTCAAGTTTAATACTCCTGGTACTGACAGATCTATACATATATTTCTAAAATAAATAAATATTTCTTTGAATTTTACATAGCTCCACTAGCTCAGTAAAAGATTAACATGATCACAAAGAATTACATGAGTGTCATATAAATTAAAACTAAGACCCCTATATTATTATTTAACACACAAAATTCCAAAAGCAAGGTATTACCTAAGAGTAAGTTTATAAAATTATAAACACCAGCTTACACAGAGAAGTAATTTAAAGACACATGACCAACCAATACAGAAACCATTTAAATTCTTCTTACTTGATATGTTCTTGGTGCTGGGAGTTCAGCTGCTCTACCTTATCCCTGTAGAACTCTTCAGCCTGAGAAGTTTAAAAGTTACACTAAATAAAATACAACTTTTTGAATTAAACACAATATTACATTATCAACCAAATATGAATATTTTAGATTGTAAGATTATATTCACAACAAATACAATTATTGGAGAATAAAAATTCAAAGAGCAGTTGTTTAAAACATTAAAAATCCTAAGAAAATAATCTTAAAAATATTAAGTCATATTTACGTTTTGTTTTGTCTGTTTGTGGTTTAACCTCTCCTCCTCCAGGTAGAGAGTCAGGTCTGAAATTTGTTGCTGGAGTTGGTTGATCAAGTTGTCTCTGGAAGAGTAGTAACAGCAAGGCAGTTAGAAGTGAGCATGTTTTCATCGCGACTAACAGAATAACACTGTTTCCTTATCAACAAAAGACTTATTTTTTGGGGGTACTGATACATATTTTAGTACCATCCATATACAAAGAGAGCAGACAATTAAATTCCTCCAACAATATAATAACACATGATTGTGGTACAGTTCTACGCTTGGGTAGGGAGACTAGCACATGAATGTGTTATCTATGTCGTCTACATAGAGACTCAAAAATTACACAGATCACCCTACCTATCTCCTATACTCGTATACCAAAGAGTGATGGAATATCACTCTACCAAGCCATTATGTCTTACACATATAGAACTATATTTTTGTAAAATATATGTATATAACTATAACAGACATACAATTAAAATATATTTAAAGAAATAATATTAAATTTTACCTTTCATCTCCTTGTGATGTATACCTGTTAGAATAAAAATAATTATAAAAATAAAATATAAGCTATTTTAAACTCTTTTTCAAAATATAATATAGATGAAGTCATGGAAATCAATAATGGCTTACCGTAGTTAAATTAAATTTTTTAAAATATTATTAATTTTTTTTTATTATGATACAGTTAAATAAAAGAATCTATGAAAACTGGCAATAGAAATGTGCATTTCATTTTTATTATTTTATACTACTTAATGACACGAAAGATTGTGCTGTTGTTAATCTTGTAATGGCCTATTCTGTTTCATAAACTCAGACCTGATAAAATTTCTTACGTGTTTTCTTCATGTACTGGGTCAAAGAATTCATCTTTGATGGTGATGTGGCATTTTGTTTTGCTCCTTGATAGGATATAACCAGGGCCAGTCTTAAAAGGAACTAGAGGGGACTGAAATAGAAAAAAAAACGTCTACATATATGTACACATAAAAAATGTAATTCCGCAAATGAAATTAAATGTTAACTGATCCATGCCACTTATACAAATAGATCTAGATCTACTAAATATTTAAGAGAAAGAGATTTTAAAAATAAAATAACTAAAGCAGTGTATGGCTGGGACAGATTTTTATTTTTAAAAATCCAATAACTGGAGTGAGTTGCCAGTTAAGAAAATGTCAAAACCAGAAAATAAAATAACTCTTCCAGTTAGTTTTAACAAATCAGTTAGGATATTACTTTATTAGAGGTAATATTTTGTAATAGTTTACTGAAGGCAACTTAACATATTTTTTGAAGGGTTAATTGAAGTGGTACAAAAGATAACACAGAAAATGGCATAGGCCTACTTCTAGAATTTTCTGCCAAGGGGGAGGCTTGTTTCTCTTCAAGGGCAGATGGCTCTCAAGGTTGTGTCTTCTGGTTGGCTCATGTTCCAGCTGGTGAACTCTGCTGCACCTACAATCACATGCATGTTGAGGGTAGAGTTGTTTGATAGTGCTATAAATAAATCACTGATAATAACTTATAACAGATCATCCATACATGAGAACATGCCATTTTAGCACACAATTTTTGTGACAATGTGGAGGGGGTGTGAGTTAATCAAGTATGTAGTCAATATTTTGCTTTAAAAAATAAATAAATTTTAAACTGATATTTTGAAGTTATTTTCACATTATTTGGCTTTAGTTTGAATATTATTTTAAAAAAAAATCAGCATAACTTATGTTTTACTGTTGTATCAGCTCAGTTTGATAATTTAATATTTAAGGACAAAAAAAAATGTTTTAAAAAAAGCAAAAGCTGCCATTCGGAAAGGGGGGGGGGCGGACGGGTAGGGAGGGGGGACGACTGTCAACCACTGTAATCTCATGATCTGTAACAATATCTACATGTGTGATGATGGGGAAGGGTGGGCTAAAATTATTAAAAGAAATATATCTTAATACACAATAATCCCCATATTTTCAAGAACCTGTCCTACCTCCCTAATATGGAAGGAGAAAAAAAGTAAAAATAAAATAGGAGCGGTGAACATACTCAGTCCTTCCCAGTATCACCGCCGCTGTTTTTGGCCGTGAGATTTTAGACTGCTGACCTGAGGTTTGTCTATAGCCAGCAGCTGTAGGACTTGACCTGTGGATTCAAATCACGACATCAATGTGTAACACAGTCACGCGTACAATATCAGTAGGTGGTAAAACGTTGGTTTAGTATAAATACACGAATGCCCTTGTCGTTTTGATATACGATACTAGAACGTTCGCATTTTCACTCCAAAAAAGGCGGGGGGGGGGGGGTGGCTAGAAATCAAGTGGTGGGGTGGGAGTAGAGATAATAGAGAATGTGGAATTTAAAAAAATATCCTAGACGGGGGGGGGGGGGGGGTAACAAAGTTTAAAAAAATATATTTTCTATTTAGATTTAATGTAGTCTATATTTCGTTCAGGGGGAGGGATGGGCAGTGGACATGCTCCGAGGAGACGCCCGAAAGAAACGCTGCGAGGGTTAGTTCAAGTAGACGGTGTCATTTTTATGGGTCAAGGTGAGTTAATATTTGAGACGATCGATATTGATATCGGCGTTGTTGTGGGCAAGTAAACCTTAATTAGGGTAGTTAAGATTCAGGTAGATCTTCTTCTTCCATCTAAATTGTAATGTTGGACAGGATTTCCTCCAACACAAAAAAGTATAACAAGACAACATTTTATGCGCGATTTAGGCCCTTGACTCCGATTTCAGCCTGCTTTTCATTCTTGATTTGCTTCCACAGCCTTTGTCCAATCAAGAACAAACTACAAGGCCGCAGTTGTTTGATTTTGGAGTTGTCTCTCCTAGATAGAGTGCTGTCCCCCAGCTATCGGACCTCATCTACCCGGGAGTTCGAACTCAGGACTTTACGGTTTAGTAGCTATAAAGTTTACCGGGCCGACCACGCCGACCCCTTTTCATGTGGATACTTGGGTTTAGTTGCGGGCACAGGACAAGAGAGGAAAAGGACAACCGAATCAATACACTTCATTCAAGTACATCACCACCACAGAAGGGGGGATGTGGGGACGTGTTGGAGGAAAGGAGGGGGGGGGTCTCTCTAAGCTACTGAGTCAAGGATTGATTGGGTGAGCCCGTAATGGAATAATCAAAGACCGGAAGCGGCCGAAAACTGCGGGAATTCCATTATTGGTGACGTCAATGTCCCTGTCATCGGAATTATTAATGACGTCCTACCTAAAAATAAACTAGTCGGAAATACTTGTTTATTATTGGTTGGCGTGTAACGTTCTATTGATCTCAGAGCGAGGCTAGAGGACAACAGATGGTGATTTAATGGATGGTCACGTGGCATTGTTTACAATTAGGCCTACACGATTTATGAATAATTTAAATCAAATGTAATTTGAGATCTGTATTTGTGACTGCGCGCGTGTGTGTGTGTGTGTGTATTACGTGTGTGTATGCAGTGCCAAACTCGATGTGCTTAGAAGGTGTGTGTGTGCAAGGGGGAGAGTGCTTACTCACTATTTTATTTTAAAATATATTTTTAAAGAGAAAAACCAACACATACGTTTACTTGTACAAAAATAAAAACAATAGAGGGAGAACATTGAAATAATAATGAAAGACACCATCGTGCCCATATAAAATACATATATCATTAATGGCTTTCGTTCATATTTATTTTTAAAGTCAACAACTTATAGCGCTATGGCTTTTAGGAAAACAATGTCATACATGATACAACGACTAAAAAGTTTGCCACGTGACTTACATTTGGTCACGTGATGTCAGGCCAGTGAAGACGTTCGACCGGCGTTATAGAATACAGTCCTTTAGTTTTGGTTTATGGTACACCACTGTTGTCATATATTTTTATTTTTCCAAAACCGGATTCTTAATTTATTTTCCCCATTACCACACAATACACAAATAATGGAAGAAATAAAAAAATAATATGAAGGTTATTCCGGAAGGGAAAATTTAGTTTTTAAAATGAAGAATTAAATTTCATCAAATGAACAACACTGTGTTAAAATATCTCCACGAGAAATAATTCCAGAGGTTGCTCTTCGATCCGTTCGAGCTACTGAATAAAATCAATACATTAATCTTGTACTGAACAGATATTTTGAGAAGCCAGATCGATGCCATTAGAAAGAAAAAAAAAATCAATAGAACTTGTCAGAGCAAAACGAGTAGGTAGTTGCTTCCCTTGTCGAGTTACCGTTCCTAAATTTGCCATCAAAAGTGTATTTGCATTGGTATAAATGATTTACAAGTATGCGATCAAATTTATAAACTTAACATATACCTTTTGTAAACATTGTTTAAACAATTGTGTACAAGTAAGTTTTTAAATTTAGAGTATATAAAATGTGTTTTGTTAATTCTTTTGGGGAAAGGGTTGAGGGTATTTCCAACAAATACAGATTTTATAGCTTAAGTGCGTTATTTAATGTACCCTATAATTAATCTTCACATTTTATAATTCAAAAATTATTTGGAGTCAGATGAAACTTTTTTTAAGCAGACGACAGTTGCACCCCGCTGTAGGAGATTTGTTTAGTCTCGGAGATCTACAGGAGGGATAACGGGTAAAAATTTAATACAAAGTTGTATTCGTTTCATAACACGGAAAATGGCGCCTAAAGCATGGGGGGGGGGGGGGGGGGGAAGCTAAAAAGTTTAATTTAATCTTGACATTCGGTAAACAAAGCCCCTCCTATGTGGGAAAGAAATAATCTCCTTAGATATGTAAAAAGGAAAAAATGAAGCTAAAATTAAAGGAAAAATAAGGGGTTGTTAAATAAATTAAAAGAAAAATACCTCAACGATTGTGAGGTGCCCCCCCCCCCCCCACCCACCCAATTCAAATAACACAGCATTACAACAGTAGCTAAGAGTACGACGAAAAAACTATTTGAGCTAAGATGTTGCGTTGACTCTTACGTTTTCCCGATGTAAAAAAAAACACACTACAACAAGTGCAGAACCAGCTACACTAGCTGCAGCAATACAAGCCCATGATACATCATATGTACTGTAACACACATACTAGCTGCAGCAATAGAACGCCATAATACATGCTATGTACTGCAACACACGTAGGCCTACTAGCTGCAGCAATACAAAACCATGATACATCCTATGTACTGCAACAAGCAATACATTCCAAACTAGACACGCACCATACGCCTCAATTGCCAGCTATAGAATACACGCCTCAATTGCCAGCTATAGAATACACGCCTCAATTGCCAGCTATAGAATACACGCCTCAATTGCCAGCTATAGAATACACGCCTCAATTGCCAGCTATAGAATACACGCCTCAACACAACTAGCTATAGAATACAAGCTCCGAGCATCTATCGAATAAACATACCACGCCACATCGTGGTATAATATAGAACAAACAACCCAGCTAGCTATAGAATACATGGTCCGAGCAGCTATAGAAATAAAACCCCATGCCCCACCCATATATAGAACAAACATTCCACACCCCACCAAGCTATTGAATGTGCGCCTCAATGAGCTATAGAACTCACTCATAACCAGCTATAGAACTCACTCATAACCAGCTATAGAACTCACTCATAACCAGCTATAGAACACACGCATAACCAGCTATAGAACACACGCATAACCAGCTATAGAACACACGCATAACCAGCTATAGAACACACGCATAACAGCTATAGAACACACGCATAACCAGCTATAGAACACACGCATAATCAGCTATAGAACACACGCATAATCAGCTATAGAACACACGCATAACCAGCTATAGAACACACGCATTAGCAGTTATAGAATAAACATCCCACGCCCCACCCAGATATAGAATAAACATCCCACGTCCCACCCAGATAAAAACTACACGTCCCACTCCCAAGCAAACATGACATGCCCATTGCGTGTCACATGACTACCGCGCTAAAGACAATGCAACTGCACGCTCTAATTGGACAATTTAATTACCACCAAGATCGATAATGTCGATTGCCTATACATATTTTTGTTTTAAAAAAAAAATCAATCAACATTTAACATGAGAACAATAACACAAGCAAGGTTTGGGATTGATCAATCTAAGCTTCAATCTTACACTACACCATACTTCAATACAATCACATTTTACTTGTTTTGAAACAATTAGATAATTTACTTGTTTATGTAAGTGTGGACTTCAATCCAAAATAATATATTTGAGCATATTTGCAATAACGTTTAGGACTCGTCCATAAAATTATACGATAAAGTTTAGCTGATTTTTTTTTATTTCTAAGGATTTAAAAATTATCTCCCCTTCCAGAAATTAAATCACGCTTAACTCCACTTACAAGAGCATAATGATTAAGTATATAATTATGTTGATTAGAAATAAATTTGCTTCATAAAAATACAAATAAATGCCACGTCACAGTATTGAACACCTCCCTCAGGGATCCCCGTAACCTTTGGTGCATGTTGTCATTTATGGACGACCATAGGAGTAGCGAGAGGGGGGTGGGGGGGTGGGGGGGGCGGGTACATATGTCCCCGGGCGCCGACCATAGGGGGCGCCAAAATGGGTTGGGAAAAAAAATTAAAAGCTCATTTTAGATGCAGTTTTGCATTATACATATACAAAATATATGGGGGGAGGGGGGGGGGGGCGCAAAATTAAAGGTTTGTCCCCGGGCGCCGAGAAGGGTCGCTACACCTCTGTGGACGACCCTACAAACTCTAGACTTATCAGGGAGGACATTGCCATTGTGTGTCATACACCGACATTATTAGGGACCATTTAAATTACTTCTTCTTTCCCTTAAACATTACCTACCCCCAGTGGCGTAGCGAGGTCGGGTGTCACCCGGTGCGGCCCTTAATGGTGTCACCCCCCAGAGGCGTAGCGACCCTTCCCGGGGACAAACTATCAAATTTTCGATTTGCACCCCCCCCTCAAACTTTCGATTTGCAACCCCCCCCCCTCAAATTTTTCTCTGTATATTTTGCTATTTTTTGCCTTGGTGTCACCCCCCTAAATGGTGCCACCCGGTGCGATCCGCACCCCCCCTCGCTACGCCTCTGCCTACCCCACACCCACATTCGCTTCCACTACCCCTCAAAGCAAAAAGAAAATACATTTTGAAGATAGATCGATAGTAGAAGCATAAGAAGAAGGTTCCCATCTGGAACATACACCGTCGGGTGGAATAATGAGTTAAATTATTTGTACAAACAGATTTGATGAGGTAAGCAGAACAGAAATTGCAGTCTCTTCATTAAATTCGTAAAAAAAAAGTTCTTGTTAATTTCGATGAAAGGGAGTTAACTGCAATATCTTTTGTTAGAGAAAACGCTGGATTCAGTTATTTCCCTTTTTAAAAAATAAAACTTAAACCCAAATAATAATATTTTCACATGGTTTTGATTCCACTGTATGTTATGCTTAATGCTTTCTCTGTAGTGGATGGAAATTTGCAATCACAATTTCACCCAATTTTATCAAACCAATTTTGTTTTAAACACAAGCCAAAAGCTAATGACATTGCTATTTGACATAAACATTGAAATATATTTATATATAGATGCAGAGATATTTTATTAATTTTAGTATATTTATGAAAGCTTATTATTATAAAAGCTTATAATTTATTTATTTTTAGTTACAATTATAATCTTGTCCCAATAAGTCAAGTAAAAATAATATAATGATTTTTATGTGCAGTAACATATTTTTTAACTAGAATTCACAGTCAAGCAGAACTGGGTTTTTAAGGTAAAGTTCCATTTCAAACCTGGGGCAAGTGAAGTAGAGTTCACCTATTTCTGTGACCTAAACATTTAAAGGGATAGTGTGATTGACACTAAAAGCAAGGATATTAAAAGTGAAAAAAAAAAAGAGAGGTGGTTTTCTACCAATATTTATGCTCTAATGTTGATTGCCAGGTTGTAAAAAAGTTGTTTATTTTAAATAAAAGTATCTGAAATGTTTGAAATACACAGGAAATAATAACATTTTTTAGTTGGTCAGTCATAAATGAAGGTAGAGTAATTAATGTAGAGGTGGAAAGGCTATTATTGAGCATGAAAAATCAAGACTTTTTAAAATACATAGTGGTACTTTGTGCATAGGACAATAAAAAGCAACATGATGATTGGTGTAACAGAAAATTAAAAAAACTTTTAAAACAAAAAGACTGTGTTTGTTTTAATGAATTTTCTTTTAAATTTTGAATCAGACCCTGCAATATTTAAAACTATTTATCACACTAGAAAGAATATTTTTACCATTACTTTTCATATAAGTGCATGGCACAAATTCAATTTGCATATGTTATGTTAATAAAAATACCATATTTATAAACTATGATACATACTTTGGTCTATGGCCTCTCATGCCATTGGTGCTGTAGATACTGGACTTAGCAGAGGTAGATCTGGCAGAATAGGTTTGGTCACTATGGTCTAGACCAGACATTTCATAAAGATTTATTTCACTGGGCATGATAGTCAGGCTGAAAGAATAAATTTATTTTCAAATGTATACACAAATATTGAATAATAATTAATATACTGCAGTATTTTTATAGGCCATCATATTTTTTTTTAATGTTCAATTGTGTAGATTTCTCTTTATCTACCATTGTAGCCTTACTTTATTTCTGGGATTGATTCTGTCGAGCCATGTTATAGAATTAATTATTAGTTATCCTTTTGTTCTTTGAACCTGGCACCCCATGGGGCAGATGAAGTACAATTCACTTGTTTGTGGGATCTCACTATATGAAGGGATAGTGTGGTCAGCACTATATGCTCATCCCCTTGACTTTCCCAACATGCATCAGAGCTAGCTGGACTCAGCGACTCTAGCCTGGAGAATCAAACTCCAGACTTTTGGGTTAGCAATTGCGCACTATACAATAAATATTGGTTAAATTGCTGCTGGATGTAGTACTGATTAGCTACTCCACTTATACTGACTTATAGGCTACATAATAATGTCTGAGTAATCTAACTTCAATGTTATTTGATTTTTGGAGAATTGTGTTATAACTTTTAATATCAACTTTCATTTGAACAAATTTAAAGTATTCAAGCTATAAATTTTAAAAAGAGGAAATCCCTCAACAGAATCTAGATCTTCGACTAGCCTAGTAGCTAAGCTACAAAACTGTTAAGCTTGTATTAAATGAATGAACAAACTTTTTACTAGCCTATTTACTTTAAGTACTTAACTGTCTACCTAAGACATTTTTATTTGAGTTAACACTATTACAGTGCTATTACTACTATTAGTCTTGGTATATTAACAGTAATATTTTTATTAGATCTAGTATTAAAGTATAATAATCTAGTTTTTTTAGGTATCTAGTAGTTAGTGGTAGTATTAGTAGTCCTTTAGTAACTAACTAGACTTAGGTTAATCACTAGGGCTTAGACTAATGACTACTGTATTTTTAGTATTAGAGCAGTGGTTCTTAACCTGGGTTCAGTCAAACGCCAAGGGCCAAAGGTTTGATTAATCAGTCTCAGTGGTTCAGCGGAGATCAAGACACACACACACCTGACTCACATGATTAAGATCAGATTTTTTCACTCCGGATGACAGAGCTATTAAGAAAGTTCTGTAGACGCAGAAATGAAACTGATGGGGTTCGATACCTCCAAAAAAAGTTAAGAACCACTAATATTACTATACTATATAAGTAGCCCAAATAACTTAATATTAATTATTATAAGTCTTCTCTTATCTAAATCCTCATCACTCCTTGTGGAGTATAGGGCAGCAACAAATCTCCACCATTCCACTCTGTCCTGGGCGAGCCACTTTAGTTCATGCCAGGTCTTGCCAGTAGCCTGCACTTCTTCTTCCATCTCTCTCCTCCATGTTCCCAGTGGTCTTCCTCTCTTTCTCTTTCCAGGTGGGTTCCACTTCAGCGCCTTGTTGGGGAGTCTTCTTTTGCTCATGCGTAGGACATGACCCAGCCATCTATCCATCTTCTCATTCGAACTTCTGAAACAATGTTGTTTAATCCTTCTTCTGAGTCAGCTCTCTCCTTTCTTGTTTAGTTTCCATGACTCTGCAGCATAGAGGAGAAGGTACATTAGACTTGTAGATCCTTATTTTAGTTCTCTGCTGCAGTGAGGATGATTTCCAGATCTTAGCGAGTCTGTTGAAAGCTTGTGCTGCCATTGCTATTCTGGTGGCCATTTTTTTCTCCATGCTGCCATTTGCTGATATATAGCTGCCAAGGTACTTAAAGTCTTCGACCTCTTCTAGCTCTACTCCATTCGCAAAGGTCTTGAGAGCACTTTTGGTTTTTATTTTCATTAGCATGGTTTTTCCGGAGTTTATCTTTAGCCCAACGCTTTAATTATTATAAGTAGATGACCCTATTAGTTTAGTATAATGCTAATTAATTAATAATTAGGCCTAATTAATTAATAAAATAATTATTTGATTAGCCTACTCAGTACTCACTGACTAGTCTGACTAGTGACTAGGCCTACTCACTCAAACATTGAAACATATAGTTGATCTTTAGGCCTAATTTAAAGGTAAACATATTATTATTAAATAAATTACTCTGTTTATGTACCCAATATGCAGCCCAAGTATTAATAATTAATCCCACAGCTTATACACCTCAACAATAACATGACAAATTATTTTACTTTAATGGCAGCCATATTGTTTCCAATGACAATAATCTTCCGAAAAAGTAATAATATAAAAAGTATGATCTACTAGATATAGTTATTTTAAACGGAAGTAGATCTATTTATAATATTAAAAATTAATTAAGAACATCAGAATATGATAATGATAGTATTAGTATCAACGCTGACAGCACACCACTTGACCATTTTAGTCTATTAAATTATTAAAAAAAAAACATAGTCTATCAATACATTGATACTGTCATCCTTGATAAAAGAAAAAAGCTATTAAATAGTACACGCATCTTTTAAATATACCTCACGGTTTGGTGTTTAGACGTCCCTAACCCACGGAAAATGTAAAAAGCATGAATTTTGGCGCTAAATTCCTGAAGTTGACTCCCGATATCGGCTCACTTTTCAAGACAAGTTACGGGGCTGTTCGTTTCTTTGGGAAAATGCCAAGCGAAATCACACTTGACTTTGCAAAGCTGACAAGTAATGCAACAACACCAACCAAAGGCTCGTCCTTGGCTGCTGGTTATGATTTATACAGGCAAGGAATATTATAATGTCGAAAATTAAAGTTCAAAATTTGTATTGCAGTTGCAGCATTATTGAATTGCATTAATTCATAATTTGTGAATTCGACAGTACCACTGCTGTCACTGAAAATATTTGCTTTAAAACACTATCAGTAAGTTGTTAAGGACGATAACGCCCCCCCCATCCTTTCCCCCAACCCCTACCCCCCCCTTCCGTGAAAGTAGCCTCCTCTTAGCTACCTCCCCTAAGTTTAAAATCGTTTCAAACTAAAGTATCTGCTCCTAATAGCCGTCACTAAACCCGGCTCTACGGTTATAAAGTTAACATTTAGCGTGAACCACAGCTCACCTGACTTCCTAGATAGGGACTACGATATCCGTCAAATTTCGGCCCGGAAACTGCGCGACCGCCGCCATACTAAACTTGATTCTGGTTTCCGTCCGCCAAAACATAGCTCACTATATAAAGCCAGATTCTCATTTCAAAATCCTTTAATTCATTCCATTTGTCATAAATACTGATGAAGGAATAATTAAGTTTTCTATTGAGCAAGCTTTTTCTCGTCGCCATCGACGTATCTTTGAGTAATCTACAGTTCTTGGACAGGTATGTAGAAATATTTAATTTATTAAATAACTAAGCTTGATAGTCATTTTTTTTTTAAAGATACACCTAGATTTATCATTTAAGTTTATTCTGAAGTCTTGTTTTTTAAATTTGAACCATCCCTTGAATTAGATAATGCCTCACGAAGTGCCGATGGTGTTAAAATTTCAGCCGACACTCGGCAATGTCGGTAGTTACCTATTATCGATAATGGCCGACTCGGCTGTGAATAAGAGATACTTTTTATGTATCTGTTGAAATCTTAACCAATCTTAACCTATTTAAAGCATCTGCATCTGATATTTATATTTTAAGATTATTTAATCATTATATTTTATTAAAAAGACATTATTTTATTTCTTACTACTGTGTTATTTTAGAAAATGTACTAAGTCTAAGCAATAGTAATAGCTGGACTAGCACTGAAATAGAAATCGTTTTCTTAATTAAAACAATAGAAAATAATCTTGGTTTGTAGAAGTTGAAAATATAATATGAATGAAAGCTTTTTATTTTCTTTCATCAGTAATGCAAATGGAGAGGCCTTCCAAAACCCTTCATGATTTGGAGCTTCTTGTTAATTCGCACAAGAACAACAAGTTTACTAATGGATTTGTGTACCACATTTTTGTGAATAACAAAAAAAATGTAAAGAAGACAGCAACATATCTTCTGGAATTAGGTGGTCATCCAGATTGTAAAGCTTCATCTTTACAACTTGTTTTAAGTCGTTTGAATGCCAGAGTTACTTCGCTGAAGATCCATATTACTAGGAACTGGGCAAATATTGAATGCTTGCTGAATACTGATTTCCACTTCCCTGTAAAGCAGCCACTTAGCACTGTACAGCCAAAGATGCCACCTCCCATTTCACCTTTAAAAACGAGGACAAGTAAGGAATGTTTTTCTTGTGACCAAAAGCAGCAGTGCAACAGAGAATTGTTTAAGGAGAACCTGAAGTTAAGACTGTCCTATAGTGCTGAAAAGAAAGAGAAGTTCCAGATAAAAAAAACGTATCAAGTAAATCGGGTTAAGCAGCAGCTGGAAAGAAAAGGACTGCGAATTGGCAAATTTCAGTCCAAAGTAAAGACACTGCAGGACAAAATTGCTTCGTTGTCCAACTCTCTAAAAAGGGCACATCTTAAGTGCAGCATACTTTCAAAACAAAAGAAAAAGTGCCACAGCCAGCTAAATGCTCTACAGTTGAAAGTAACTGAGCTGGAAAAGAAGTTAATTTCTAACGATGCTGCCTTGCTACATGACATACCACATGTTGAAAATTATGATGCTCAAACTATTGTCACCAAAGTCAATAAAAAGCAATTCAATTCTTCAATCAGAATGGTAATTTACCGCTGCCTTGAACTAAATGTGCCTGTTGAGGCGATATCAAAGGTAATTGCGTTCTGCACTGATCTCTGCAATGCACAAGTTGACCTGCCATCAGTGTCTACAATTGCACAGATGTGTCGTGAAATGGCAGTTTTGGCTGAGCTTCAAGTTTCTGAGGCCATTGTTGATTCGGATGTTGTAACCATAGCGTTTGATGCAACAACTATATCCGGTAAACACATAAATGAAGTTCATTTTGGAACGCCTGAAAATGTTTTCACCGCAAACATTACGGAACTGGCAGGAGGCAGAGCTGAGGACTATGCTGGTCATGTACTTAACACAATTGAGGACTTGGCAACAACGTACTCTTCCTTTTGTGAAGTTGATAAGGAGGAAACAAAACTTCAAATGTGTGGAAAGGTTTCATCCACGTTGACAGATAGGGCCTCAGCCAACCACGCTGCAGTACTACTGCTGAATGAAAAACTTCAGACAAACTTACTTGAACTGAATTGTCACTTACACCCTCTTGATGGCATAGCCAATGAAGTAAGGAAGACTTTTCAAAAATTTAATTCCCTTATTCCCAGTGACACATTTGGTTCAGACTGTCGAGCTGCTAACTTGCTGTATGGAATATCTAAGCTGAGGTAAGTTTTTTTCCATCGCTGTTGTTTGATTTTTATTTTGCATTGGTATGACTTTTCAATAGCTCTTGTCTTTCCTATTAGGTACAAAGCAAAGGGAGATCCTACAGGATTCAAGGCTTTTCTCAGGCAGCATTCCTTGGCATGTGGTATTTTCCCTAGATATGTTGGTAATAGGTTGCACGTGATGTTCTGCCTGGCTGGTATTGTATACAGACACAGGCATCTTCTGGTGCTATATTTAGAAAAATATTGCAGCAACATATCATTAAGAGCTGCACTACTAAAGGACTTAAAAAATGACATTATTATTTCCCAGTTGCAGGCACTTGGACTTTGGGGGAAATACCTAACCGGGGCTTGGATGTCAGTCTTCTATGCCAAAGAATCAAAACGGAATCATTTTGACATGGTAATAATTTTGAGTTTTTAAAAATAAATACTGGTGACTTCTTGTAATGAGTTATACTTTGTTCAAATGTATATTTTTTCTTTCAGGTTGAATATCAAAAGGTGGCGATGAAATTCATTGCTAGAGTAATTGCTGAGCCAGAATACCTTTTGATTGGATGTGAGGATGCCTTTGGACGCCCCTTAATTGCGGATGAAACTTTGTCATCTCTGCTGATTGTAGATGACACCAACCTCAAGGCCTTTAGTACTGCCACTAAAGCCATGGCCACAGCCACCCAAACTGTCCTCAGCCGTCAGCTTTCCCGCTACCTGGAGGGTGATTTAGCTGCACCTACTGAGGCCATGTTAGCTGCAGCAGCCAGTGCCCCCGTACACAACATCTGGGCTGAGAGGGCCCTTGGTGTTGTTGATTCATTGTCGCGCAGGGCCCCAAATTCAGAGATAACTTTTTTAGATGCAAAAACTAAAGTAAAGCTGAACAAATCGTTGGACTGGCTGTCATCCAAGCCTGCAGCAGTTCAACAACAAATAATCCAATTTTGTATTAAGAGGGGTGCAGTTTGTAGAAAGTTAGGAAAGGATAGGAGGATAGAGAAAGAAAGGGAGCTGCAGCGACGGCTGATGGAAAAAAGCCAGAAAAGAGACATGGGAAACCGAAACAAAATTGCTAAAGCTATTAAACAGCTATTGATCGAGAAGGAGCTTTTCACTGTTATTAATGACCCTGTATTTGCCAATGTTAGTAGTTTTCAAAGAAAAAAATTGTCAATTTTTTTGTCAGATAGGGTAGAGGGGGCGAGGATTGAGCATAAGTGGAATGTGAATGGAGAGGATGTTATTTTTAGTGGTAGGTTTATTTTAAAGTTAAAGAAAAAATCAGCTGTAGATTCATTTAGAGTAGCTTATTGGAAAGAAAATGAAACAGAGGATGATGCTGAAGATGTGTGCGTCTCGTTTGACAGTATTTTAGCTGATGTTGTTTTAGGTGACTTGTTATTTTGCTAGTCTTGTAATTACTATGTAATTATATTATTTATATTAAATTTAATTTTTATCAACAGTGTTTACCTGTCTGGTATTTTATTTACACCAATTCCATTTAACTAGTATTTTATTTGTGTAATCTGGATTTTTTGTGTGATAAAAGAACCTTTGCGCTGGGGTGGGGGATTTAGATTAAATTGTATATTAAGCTCAAAGGTGTGAGGTTCCATACTATTACACCTAGCAGATGTTAGAATTTGGACATGATAATAATATAATATTTAGAACCACCATATACTTTAAAAAAAAAAAAAAAATTTTTTTTTAGAATTAGGGGGTGGTATCCCCTCTAGACACATATTTCATCACACCCTTTACATTTTAAAAAAATGTTAGGTTTAAGTACTTCAAAACACATTTATCTTGAAACTCTGAAAATTTGAATACAAAATTCCATGTAATAAAGATTTGGCATTGATTTATACACATTACACACAAAATTTGCCCGCAAAAATTACCGTTAAATCCTATAGTAACTTTTTATTCAGTAAAAAAATCATAACTTTTGAATGGAATGTCCTATTTTGAAAAAGTAAACTGTTTTGTCTTAATTGTATGTAGTTCTATGTGATGATATGTTTTTTTACTTAAATAAATCATTTTGAAATTTATCTCAAAGTCCCTATCCTAGAGAGGAAGAGAGGGGATTGCAAGGTGCGCTTACATTACAGCTTGTTTTCTAAGGTCTCCAAGAAGAGAATTATATATAGATAGATCTAGATAGATTCTATACTAGTTGTGTTGTCTTAGTAAGTCATAGTTGAAATTAGCCAGAAATGACAGTGCAATGTTACACCTGTGTTTTGGACTCGGGTAGATCTAATAAATCTAGATTAGATCTAGATTATCTAGATCTATGTGTGGTGAAATATCAGTAATACCAGTAATAAAAAACCTAAAGTAAACAGGGCCTAGATCTATATACTACTATATTACATCCTAGTAAATTATATAGATCTAGTATTGAGAATACTCTACTAGAGGCCTACCACCTATGTAATGGTATGTATATCTAGGCCTATATCTATCCAATCTATAGATAACTACTATTATGCTTATTTATCTTATTTAATATCTTGAGCTATAGGCCTATACAGCACACTATATAGAAATCTAGGCTATAGTTCTTTTAAATCAGTGTTTCTTTCAGGTTAGGGGGGGGGGGGCACTACTTCCTGGAAGATTGCAAATTATTAATTGAAATAGATAGCCTAGATCTAGATATAAAATATGATCAAAATATTACATTAGAAATCTATAGGGAAAATGTAAAACCCGAAAACTTAGAGGACAGGGGACTACCCATTTTGTCTCTCCCTCTCCTTCCTAGATAGTAGACATTGTTTATGAGGTAGTATTGAATGACATTCTACAATTAATTAAGGTATAAGTCTAAGCCCTAAGCCTATATGAACATGATCAATAAAGTGGATATTTTTAAATACAAGGCCAAATGGTTAATGGAAGTCATCAACTTAAGAAAAAACAGCTTACTAGTAGTAGATATTTAGACAAACAGTCTAGTGCTACAACAATTCTCTTCCACTTCAAGATCTGTAGATCAGCAGTCCAAGATAATGTCATTGTGCCCAAATAGGTTGATATAGTGTAGTTATAATTGTGTATAGATCTAATATATGCTAATAAGATACAGTTTTTATAGAGACACTGCTTATAATTTAATTTCATTACATTGTTTGAAATGTCTTAAGACCTTTTTTAAGTTCAATATTTTACTTCTGTAGTGTTTTGCAGATTCCATCACAATTAATTTAACTAAGTTCTACCCTGCATCAATCCCTTTTCAGTGGTCTCTGTTTTAGTACTGTGCATGGCCAAACATTGTTTGATCAGCATAACAATATGTGCTTTTATATTAATTTACTTCTTCTCCACAGTGCCTATGACTACACAGTCCCTGCTCGTGGAAAGGAAATTGTAAAGACAGATATTCAGATTGCTCTGCCAGAAGGCTGTTACGGCAGGGTCGCACCTCGATCTGGTCTAGCTGCAAAAAACTTTATTGATGTGGGCGCAGGTGTAATAGATCAAGATTATAGAGGGAACGTTGGTGTAGTGTTGTTCAATTTTTCGGATACAGATTTCATTGTGAAGAAAGGTGACAGAGTTGCGCAGCTTATTTGTGAAAAGATTTACATGCCAGTCTTGCGGGAGCTTCCTACACTCGACAACACAGACAGAGGAAGTGGTGGTTTCGGATCTACTGGAAAAAATTGAAATTTGATTGATGTACTTTAAAACCTTTTGATATTGTGTAATAAATTTGTTCATTATATTATTCTATTACAGTTCCTTGTTTGGTATCAGTGTTGTTATTCTTTGTAATATTGGTCAAAATAAGCTTTATTATTAGTGGTTGGGGAGGGGTCGGTGTTGTCAAGTCGCTAAAGCTCATGGTTGCTAATCCGAAAAGTCTCGAGTTTGAACCCTTGGGCAGATGAGGCTCGATAGCTGGGGACAGCCACTCTTCTAGGAGAGAACTCTAAATCAAACAACTGCTAGCTTGAAGTTTGTTCTTGGTTGGACAAAGGTGAAGCAAATCCAAAAAGAAAAGCAGGCTGAAATCTGAGTCAATGGCGCATAACCATTTGACACATACTTAATTGTGTTGGTCGGGATCCCTTCCAACAAAAATTAAGAAAGAAGTGGTTGGGGATTACAAAATTTGTACCATTTGTGACAAATGGCACTGTTGAATATCTGTGTCAGTTGTTAGAAAAGTTCAGCTGTGTTTTGTTTGGCTTCACTATGTTGTGGCACAGTTTAAACTTTTTACAAGCTTTTATTAAGTTTACAATGCCTGTTTGCTGGCAAATCTTTTGACTCCATTTTGATTTACTTCTAATGCAGCCAATTTTTTCAAGCTTTCCAGATACGTTCCACTTTGATGACAAGTCTATTTGTAAATTAAATTTTTGATGACCAATTAAAATTCCAATTAAACGGTTTTGAAGCTGGGGGGGGGGGGAGGACAACTCAAATTACTATATTCACTTACTGAAGGGGAGATAACTAACTAGACTATCACTTCATAAATTAGGAATCGAAAAGAAAATAAAGCAAATATAAAACTATATAGCAACAAGCATTTAAATGCACTGTAAACAAAGTAACTGATTTGCTTTGTTTATAAAAGCTTTGGTTGCTCTTTAGGTCTTTTACGTATTTAGTGACAAATGCTTTTAATAAGGAAAGCATATTACTAATATTAGTTTTTATTTTCAGTGCATTTTAAGCTTGTTGAAAGGTTTGATATTTGCTTATTTCTATCCCATTCAAAAATTGTTAGCTAAATCATCAGGTTGATTTTCATGTTTGGAAAGTTGTCTGTAGGTCTTAACAATTTGACTATATAAAAATTATCATTCATGTAAAAAATACAAAACACAATCTTTGCAGAATGAACATTATTTACTTGAGGATATATCAATGTACATAAGGCCTGATATACATGGGTACATATGACCATTCAGTGAATTTAAGTTTCTTGACAAGAAAAAAGCTTTAGTGTGAAATGTAGTCATTCACAAGCACTCTTACAATGGAGGTTTTATTATTTATAGCAATTTAAATCATAAGAACTAAAACCAAGAAGTGATTATCTATATATTGTATTTCTGGGTATTGGGGGTATGATATGATGCTATAAAAGTAAAGAGGGTACAGCTGTTTCAAAATCCACACATTTCATGTGCTAAAATAAATAGGTTTGGTTCACTTGTATAAAATGACGCTAAGGAATGTATTTAGATGAATAGATGCTCTAGAATCAATAAAAACAAAAATATACATATTTCTTCACAAACACAATTTGTTATTACTAACATTCAGCTACACACACACCTATGTAATGTAATGTATATATGCATTCCCAGCCCTTACTTTAAATGTTACAAATTACCTTTATAATAATATAGCGTATGCATATTTACTAAAGTTACATTGTGATATAGACACTGTCTCTGTAGTGTAGAAACAGTTGCTATAGTGTAATGAAATATTTTACAGTAGTTAACCTTGAATAAAATAATTTCATTGTAGATGACAAGTTCACATTTGCTATACAGCGCAGTTCTCTTATAACAATCCACATAAATAGCACCTAGTTTTCAGTTTGAGCCAGGCTGATTTAAATGCACGTTTTAATTTTATTAAAAATCAAGGCAAGGTACAAAATTATTTTGTAAAAAAAAAAAAATCATCTGTTTAAATAAACAAGGATTAACCAATTCCATAAACAATGAGACAATTTTTTACAGTAAAATTTCATCATCAGATCATTTGAGACACCAGAGATGTAAAAAAAATAAAATAAAAATAAAACTTCAAGTCCAAATAATTCCCCAGATTTTTTGTAACCAATTTACAAACTAAATCTGAAGTATAATGGAATATCCAAAGACAACACAAAAAATCCTAGTAAAAATAAAACAAACCCCCACTGACAATGCATCTCTGTTTTAAAAAAAAACAATGGAATGTATAATTAAAAAGGAATGTTTTAGTATAAATGGAATGTAATAAAATATTCTAATATACAGTAAAGTGAAAATGATAATTTTTTTACTGTAAATAAAAGGATATTTTAAAAATAATCTTTATATTAATTATTCAATATAAAATTAGTAAAAACCCCATGTTACTGGACATTAATTGCACCCATTTCCAGAGTTCCATTAGCAGCTTTTCATTGTCATCTCTGGGATGCATTTTAAAAACCATTCCACATTTTAAAGAAAATAGGCAACATTTTAACATATTGGTTATGAAAGGAAGAGCTTACGAAAGTGTGGGTTAATTCACACTTATCTTTATTATGGAAAATATACATTTTGATTTCAACATTAAAGTAAACACAAAGTAAATAACTCAAAAACACAGGTCCAAAAATATTTAGTAGTTAACAGGGCTGCCAACCTTTTCTTTGCTTTATATTAATTTCTCATTTCATTTAAAACAATGTGTAACTTATTAAACATTTTTTGCTCATATTTTGAATAAAATATATTGTGAAAGCTTCTGTTCAATCCTTTTCCTCCATTAAATTATAAAATAAAAATTTGATTAAAAAAAATTGTATATAAAATTTAAAATGTATCCTTGAATATTGGTTTTAATTTTAAAATAACATTTTTTTACTTTTTAAAAGTGGAAGATGAATTTCATCATGTTATAACATCTTAAAATTGAAAGTTAAAAATGAAATGTCAGCTAACCATAAAAACTTATATTACAACAACACTGCACAAGGCTGCATAGCCATCTGTGGGACCTTAATGCCTTTACCATCCAAAGACTTGCAGATAAACTTTGGTTTTCCGCAGTTGCTGAATGTGATTAACAATTTCAACAGGAAATGTACAGGCGATAACTTTTGTACAGTAAAAACATGATGAAAAACTATCTAAATCCTTGAGATGACTGCTGGTTGGGGGTTGTTGGCGTCCTAGGAGTTGTCGGCAATCTCCGTTGTCTGGGGGCGCTAGATGTCGGTGTGGATCCTAATCCTTTTGTAGGGGTGGCGGCTCCTGACCTTTGGTGAACTGGCTGTGACGGAGAGGAGAATGTTGGCGTCGTGGGTCTGGACCTGATGGATGTGCCAAAGGCAACAGTAGGTGTGGTGGCGCGGGGGGTGAAAATGTGAGATCTGGGTTTTCCACCAGCGCCGATAGGTGTGGGAGTTTTTCGGCCTGTGATGTTTGAGGATGATGTGCTGAGTCTCTTTGTACGGTTCAAGTTTCCAGTTGAACCTACAGGTGTGAGTTAAAAAGATATGTACATTGTAAGTGATTAATGTCTAAACTACAATTTTAACAAAGCAATAAAAACTACTATAAAACCTTTTTAAATTTTACAAACCTGTTATTTGACTCAAATGTAAGACTTTGAGGCAGTAGTGTTATAATTTTAAAATGCTTAAATTGAGGGGAGGGAGCTTATATAAACAAAGTGGGGATGGGCCTGCATATCAGAGATATGTCTACCGCTACACAAAAACACAATTTTACATAACTTTACGAAAATTACAAATAAGTGATACAATGATAGGCCTACATTTTCTTGAATATTTAGGAGGGGGGAGGGGGTGATTGATATTAAACCACTTTTGGGATCCACCATGCTTGTCTCACAAAAAAAGAATTAACCCTAGTTTTAAAAAAAGAATATCAATACAACTAGCATGTAGAGTGAGGATGAGTCATTAGCCTTACCAAATGTATCAGTGCTTCTACCAAGTTGTGAGTTGATGTAATTACCAGGTGAGTTGATGGGACCAGCTAAATTAACCATGGACGAAGTGACACGGCTCCTTCTAAGCGATGAATCATTGCTACCTGTTTTCAAGTCAAAAGGTCATGCATTATTTTATGTCGTTCACCAAAATCCCAAATTAAAAACTTTAAAAATAAAAATTGTATATTTAAAATCAAATTAGAATTTTACTATTAAGAAAAAAATTAAATTAAAACAGCAGTAAAATTATTTTAAATTCTCATTTTAAAACAAGACATTATGGTTTGTAAATTTATAATATATAGTGTTAAGCCATGCAAAAGCATACATGCCATGTGTAATAGATTATTTAACCAATTTGGTTCAAATTTAAAATAAACAAAAACAAAAAATAATTAAGGTAGGATTCAACATGTGCCAAGTATTTAAGAAATGAAGCCAGTTATAGGACTTACTCCATTCCATTAACAATTTTTATATTGAAAAGGTGAGAGGGGAATTGGGTAAAGTTTGAGTAAAACAAAAGAGACTGATTTTTTTTTTTTGCGGATATGTAGACAGGGCAGAGGTTCTTTAATAAAAATACTGATATTAGAACCCTTGAAAATTTCGAAGCAGCTCAGTTAAATCCAGATCATGTTGATCAATTTAATTAGATTAGTGCAGAATACAACTTGTTAAACTTGTTACAACTTGAGCGCAATCATGGTTATACAGAAAAGCAGCATATTTGTCAAATGTTGCTTTGTTAAATGACAGGGTACTGGATACATCTTGTTTTGGATTATTGTATATAGTTAGAGGCAGATAAGGATTTTTAATACAAACTACTATCAGTATTGAATACTCCCAATATGCATGCATTATAAATTATATACAAGTTAGGTGGTGCTGTATTAATTAAGTGCCAAGAATGATTTTTTTACAAACAAAAATTTGATTATAAGTTTAACTGATCAGTTAAAAAGATCATTCAGCTACTGGGTTAATGTCTGTGTCGTAGATAACGCTACATTGATTAAATGCATCAGCCAATATTATACCTCCGGCCTGTGCATCTGGGCTGATGACTCCACTGGCATTCTGAGAACCCTCCCACGACAAATCACCATGGTAACTATATCTGTTTGCTGATGACCTGTTGCGGGCCTGCTGCGAGGCCATGGCAACGGCAATGGGGGAGAGTAAGGACATGGAGGATGTTGACGATGTTGGCGAGAGCAGAGAGGACTGAGAGAATCTATCCTCGAGGTTTTGTGCAATACCTGATGAGTTGGACGAGGCGTAACCTGTGTCGTTTTGTCGACGACGTGCCCCGGTGGGGAACGGCGATGTCCGGCCTCCAGCGCTGCCTCGTCTGGACACGTCGACGAGACTTTCCCGAAGGTCAAAGTTAGTGCGTCCTTTTGCTGGTGGTTAATTTGAATATTGTAGCATTGTATAAAGCAGTGGTAAGGAAACAAATTTTTAGCGTGACATTTTTCATTTGAGTGAGAGAAAAAAATAAACCGCATGCTTTATTTAAAAGAGAAAAATATGAAAGAGATGGCTCAAAATTTGTTCATTGCTCTACAAATTTATATTTTGAATTTATTAATTTAATACAAATTAGATTACATTTAAGCTGTTAGCTATTTTTTTTATTAGAGATAAAATAATTGGGTATTTCTTTTATTAAATGAGAAAGAGTATTTGAATGTAGTACATTGATTGATAAGTCGTTAAAACATTATATAAGAAGTGAATACATAAATATTTTTTAACTTCCTTTGAATTACATTCTTTATTTAATAATAGCTTACAAATGAAGTTAATTTTTGAATAAAAATATTAAAAAAATTAAATTTTGACAAAGTTACCTTTACAAGGGTCATTGAGCTCAACAAACTCCTCCAGAGTTACCCACCCTCCGCCAACACGCACCATCACTGTGTGATTGAGGAATCTGACCAGACAAGTTTTTTGTTTCTCTCCAAACTGGAATTTTTAAACAAATATTTCATCTATCATCAATATGATGTAAGGTATGTAAACTAAAGTAAACTTAAGAAACGATCTTAAAATAATATTGCTAGTAAAACTTCTTGGTTACAGAAATTGAATTTTTTTTTTTACATTTTTTTAAAACAAGGAAAAAAAAAGTTAATGAAATAAAATCAATTTGTAGATTAACTATTTTGCATATAATAATCAACTAATAAGGCAAACAATGTGAATGGAATAATTCTATATAACTACCCCAGTAAAGGTTATTAAATTTTCACTGACCCTGTACTTCCCCTCTTCAATCCACTCAGCCCTGAAGGCATGTCTACACTGGCAGGAAGAAAGTTCCTTCTCAATCTCCTCATGGATCAGCTCCACATCAGATTTTGCATTGCGATTGTTGTTTTTAACCCTGCTAGTCTGAAATTTAAAATTTAAATGAAAATTATATCAACTGAAACAAAATCAGTATTTTTAATTTTAAAAAAAGGATTTAAAAACATGGTAAAATCAATTCTTGATTCTCTTACCCTATCTGTTTTCAAAGCATCAACAAAATTTTTATATTCTATAACTCCTCTATTGGCACGGTCAAATATGTCAAAGACTGCATTAAGTTCTGTACGATTTGAAGGGAATTCTGCAAAAGAAAATTTATATAATCTGTTACATTCCTTCCAACACCTTAAGCAAATTAAACCATTAATCTTAAGTAAATTAAACAACAACTATCTTTATTAATTATAATGTGATTTCCTGGTTTGTGCACAAAATAGAAATATTTAAAATTAAATATAAAATATAAAATTACAGAACAAGAAATAAATCAGTTTTAAAAACAAAGCTTAAAACGATTTGATCAGTGTAGATTTCAAGCAAGGTGACAGCAACATCCCTTATCACCATCAATTACAATTCCAGTGTCCTACCCAGCAATATTTAATTCAACAGCCAGACAGTTTGATGTATTACTCACTGGACTTGAGCATGCCACCAACAAACTCCTCCCTGTCTAAGAAACCATCGCTGTCCTTATCCTGACGTCGGAAGAAATCTGTGATTCTGAATTTCTTGGCTTGAATCCAGTTGAGGTAACGCTGCCTCCACAGGTCAAAGTCAAAGTTTTTGAAACTCTCCAGCTAAAAAAAATATTAAAATGTTTAGGATTTCAATTGGCTCATTATTGGATTGTTATTTTTTTGTCAATCATACATCAAAAATTGTTTATTTGCTTGAATTAAATAAAAATAAATGGATGAAATAGCAAAAACAAAATAGCTAGGCAGATCTAAGTTAATTTTCTATGACCTAAGCAAATGAAAGGATTGGTTTACTATTAAAATGCCTACCCCTCTTTACTATCACTGGCTTGTATCAGATTCCCAAAAGTGACTAGAACCAATTATGTGTTCAGCCGTATTGCCTATGTTCGCTTAATTCACCCAGGCTCCTTGAGAATAATTTAACACCAAATACAGTAAAAGGCACAAGTGCTGGCCCTTACCTCCAGCAGATTATCATGTGCATCCTGCAGGCGTTTCTTCCTGTCCACAGACATATGCCAGACTGTCCTCCACTTGTTCTGTAGGGCAATCACTCGAGGGTTGTAGCCATCAAACTCATTCAGTTTCATGTTGCTGAGGAGACAAATTACATTTTTCAACCTACTTAGCTACAGCATGTTTTGGGAATGAATGTGATAAAGATTTAAAAACTGAAAGTCTTCTTTAAAAAACAAAACAGATTTTTTTTTATATTGAAGCTTATTTAAAAAGTTCCTTTCACAATATAAAAAATGAAAAAAAACAACTTATTAACATATAGCTGACACAATTAAAATAATGGTTTGTTTTATTAAAAAAAAGATCATATATTTTTACCTGCCATAACCTTTGCCCTGAGCTGCCATCTTTGATTCAGATGTGACAAGTTTTGACAACCTTTCAGCATCATTATTTTTACTGGTCACCTCGTCATGGAACTCCTGATGATAGATTATATAAATTTGTATCATGAACTGTAAACAGAAATCCATAACTAAAAAAAACATCTTGCTATATAGTAAGTATTTTACTGTATTGTTAAGAAAGAAAGAAAGGTCAAAACAAAGAACTCACCAGGTGCTCCTTTAACAAGGTTTCCACAACTTTGAGGTCATCTGGGATGGGGTCACGTTCTTTAGTGGCCAACAGAGCCTGTGCATCAGTCAGCCAGGCCAGAAGCTCCTCCAGGAGGGCAGCATTACCCTGTATGTTGTGGAGAGCTTCCTGTAACCTTTGACCCCTGTTGGATGCCCTTTGTAAGAGCTAAAAATAAATTGAGATTTATGTATTATAAAACAAATTTTTTTTAAATTTGGTTCTTAGATAGGATAATAAATATAGTATTGATTTATTTGTTGATAATATTGCTGTTTGGGTCAAGGGTTAGATTTTTGAGAAAAAATTAGGATGAGGAAAGCAATACTAGCAACAAAAAAATAGCCATGCAATGGTTCTAACTATGTTTCAAAAATGCATAAAACTTTAACCTGGAAAGAATATAAAAAAAAAACAAAAAACAACTAATGTTTAATTTAATTTTGTTTTGCCAAAAATTAAGACAAAATTAGTCTGGCCTTGTTTACTATAATGATTTAGTTATAGGGAACATGTTTGCCTTGTTTACTATAATGATGTAGTTATAGTTAACATGTTGACAAGATGTAAAATGACTATTCTCACCTGATCCCATCTGGTCTGGGTTATTGTGAGGTAGTACTTGACAAATCTGACAGCATTGGGGTGGCAGCTCAGGAGAATCTCCTCTGCCAGGCCCTTGATCTTGTCCACACTTTCTTGATGGTTGCGCAAGTCATCTTGAAATTTCTATTTAAGAAAATGTACACATCTTGAAATTTCTATTTAAGAAAATGAACACATCTTGAAATTTCTATTTAAGAAAATGTACACATCTTGACATTTTTTTTAGTAAAACACCAACTCATGATGCCATCATATCAGATCAAAATATTGAATAAAATTTGTAAATTTTAACACACTATTAATGCTTATGAACATATATTCTAATTTTATTTGAACACACAACTTCAGTTAGGACATAACATAGATAATCTAAAAAAAAATTCTATACCTAGTATTAAAACTTGTATGTTCTCAATGCATGACTAACTTATGTACAGGTAAGAGCCTAAACTAAATTATCTAACAAAAATTTTTAATGTTAAAACAGCAACTGACCTCATGTTTCTCAATGAGTTGCCGTATGACCATCTCATCTTCAGGTAAGGCCCTAAACTTGAGCTGGGCTTCTGCTTGAGGTAGAAACTCTCGCATGACTGTCACTACATCTTGAAACTCTTCAGCCTAGAAGTTTTTTTAAAAACAATGGTAAATATTTAACAAAATGTTTCTAACAAAGTATTTATAAAAAATGGTTTATTACAAAATATATCCATCCTAAAGGACAATACTTGTATTATATAAGTTATTTAAATCATAACAGTAAATGCTATACTTTACATCCAATTAACAAAGTATTCAGATCATAAATATTTTTGACATCTTGCTTTAACAAGTCATGCTCTACAAAAAAATTATCCTATAAAAAATCTTATAATAGGATAACATAGATTATAGTTTTATTTAACTTTACCAATTCTATTTAGTTAAAGTTCAACAATTCATTTTAATCAAAGTATTTACTACTAAAAGAAGGACAGAAAAGTGATATTATTAATAGAAAAACTAGTGAACCTACCAGTTTTAAGGCTTCTTTAAGCTTGACTTCCCTGATATCACACAAGTGGTTGACTCGGTCCCATATTTTAGACAGCTCTGCTGCTTGCTGTGCAGGGAGATTACCTGGTGCCTTCATTGTCAGCACAGTGGCTTCCCTTGCTCCCAGCTCTTGTTGAATGTTCTAAATTTGACAGAAAATTAATTCAACCTTTTAAATTAAATTAACTTAATGTCTAGAGTACTTATAAACTTATAACCACTTATAGCAGTATTTTTTAAATTTGCTCCAGAAGATATAATAATCCCATAAATCAATTTATTAATTAAAACTAATGAAACATTTTAGCAGTAGGGGTAATCCATTTATTCTGTGCATACGGGGGGTCCCAAAAAAATTGACGACTTTGGCGGATGCGTGTGGACTTTTAAAAGGGAATTGACTTTCGTGGAGGGGGGGGGGGGGAGGTTGTTCAAAATCCAAATAATGTGTGGACGTTATAAATAAATGACCCCTTAATTAAATTCTGAAAAGAGACAATCTGGTAAAAGATATGAAAATTATTATCATTGTGAGGACCTTCCTACAGATATGGTAAAATAAACAAACAACCCCCAGTTGAAACATTTCTGAATAAATAAATGAGGCTTACCCTGTGTTGCTCAATGAGCATGTGCACAGTGTCAAGGTCACCCAGGATCGGTGCCTCCTCGTCTAAGGCAGCCTCTGCTTTCTGGAGCCATTCTAGCAGAGACTGTAGAGCGTCAGACACTCGACCAGAGGTGAGTAAAGCTTCGTCCAGCTTGTTCTGGCTGCAGGGAGTACAGATTTACATTCAGTTTACACAGGGATAGAGGAACTTTTTATATAGGAAGTACAGATTTACATTCAGTTTACACAGGGATAGAGGAACTTTTTATATAGGAAGTACAGATTTACATTCAGTTTACACAGGGATAGAGGAACTTTTTATATAGGAAGTACAGATTTACATTCAGTTTACACAGGGATAGAGGAACTTTTTATATAGGAAGTACAGATTTACATTCAGTTTACACAGGGATAGAGGAACTTTTTATACAGGAAGTACAGATTTACATTCAGTTTACACAGGGTTAGAGGAACTATACAGGGAGTACAGATTTACATTCAGTTTACACAGGGATAGAGGAACTATACAGGGAGTACAGATTTACATTCAGTTTACACAGGGTTAGAGGAACTTTTTATACAGGGAGTACAGATTTACATTCATTTTACACAGATAGAGACAATTTATACAGGTAGTACAGATTTACATGATTCTTCCACAGGGATAGAGGAACTTGATGTAGGTAGTACAAATTTACACTCATTTTATGGATGGACGTTGCAAGAAGGAAAGATATACATTTATTTTACATGGGGACAGAACAACAATTACTGCATTGCAAGATAATGGGACATTAAACATAGAGCGCTTTGAGCAAGCATATTTTTCTGGGTCCCTCACCCTAATCAAACAGCAACATCAGCAGAAAGTCCACACTATTCCTATCAGCTATTTTTACCCTAACATATTTACATTTATTTTACAAGCTCCTTAAGCATTATATATTTCTCCACATCAAATAGGTCATAAATTTCACAAGGAAAAATTTACTTTAGCTGTTGTAATTGTACCCATATTGTACACAGACTTACAAAACAAGAACAGTTTGTTTATTTATTTTTTAAATTTCACATATCTAACACCACAAATGCTGTAACTAACCTGAATTAATTTTTGACCAAATAAGTGATACACTATCCTTAAAGAAAATCATCTTAACACTTAAGCGCTAAGTCACACCATTGAACAATTTGTGTTTGCACAGTTGAGAAATCAAACAGTTGCCCATACACCTACTTAAAAAAACTTTGAATATTTGCTTTAGAGATTATTTACTTTCACTAGCAAAGTGTTAAAGGTGGTAAGGGGAGCATTATTGTGTCATGACCTTTAACCTACGTCTCATTGAAGTGTTGATCCCTTGATGGAGAAATGTAGATCTATGTACTGGGCAGTTTATCTTTTACAGAAATGTATAGCACCCCCCCCCCCCCCCCACTTAACTAAAATTTAACATTTACAAATTTTCTTTTCTTATGGTCCTATGAGTTACCCATATATCCACAGAAAAACTACACTATATATTCATAAGGTATTGTATACAAAGTTGTGTTAATAGACTAGTGCTCGAAGCAACCTTTTTTTTTTCTTTCACATATTGGGTGTTGTAGTGAGTTGTTTATTTTAGAATATTCAGGCATGCACACTGCTTCTAAAATTCTGCAATGACATTCTATAACCCATATACTTATTCCCTTATGGTTGTTTACAAGCGTGGGATGAGGTAATTAAGACAGGTAGGTGTCTGCTGGTGACAAGGTAACTCACACAGGTGTCATGTAGCTGGAGAGAGGGACAAACCTGTCCCCAAACTCCTCGTCATAGTGCGGGTCCATGGGGAGTGGAGACAGTCATGCAAGAGTAGCATCTTTTTCAACATGGGTCACAAGGGACTCAATCCTTCCAACATAGTTCATAAGTGACTCAATCCTGGTTTTATCAACATGGGTCATAAGTAGCTCAGTCTATCAACATGTCATAAGTAGCTCAATCCTTAGAACGATTTTATCAACATAGGTCATAAGTGACTCAATACTTAGGACAATTTTATCAACATGGGTCATATGTAACTCAATCCTTCCAACATAGTTCATAAGTGACTCAATCCTTCCAACATAGTTCATAAGTGACTCAATCCTGGTTTTATCAACATGGGTCATAAGTAACTCAATCCTTAGAACGATTTTATCAACATAGGTCATAAGTAACTCATCCTTTGAATGATGTCATCAACATGCCATTTATAACTCAGCTTAGCTCATAAGTAACTCAATCCTTAGAACGATTTTATCAACATAGGTCATTAGTAACTCATCCTTAGAACGATTTTCATAAATGATAAGCTCTCACAGCTGCCAAGTCAAATTATGTGAACACCGTGTAAATCCACCTTAAAACAAGATCTCAATATATCATACTATAAATAACCCCTATGAAGACCGATCCTAACACATTTGTAGGCCTATCTTTCTACAAACAATCCGTGTGCGCGTAAGTTAGTGACTCGGTATTTAGACGAACCAAACACAGCTGATTCGAGTTGATTATCCCACAAGTCAGCATCACCAACAGGCTGACACATCGATCAGTATTGCGGCAATCTAGTAAACCATAATTTGTATTGATTTAAGCTAAAACACACTGATAAGCTAAGCTATTTTATCGCAGTGGCGATTCCAAAATAAACTATATACGATTACATTTAAATTTAAATATAACGATGAAAAAAGTCCAAATCTCAGGAATGCAATTTTACTTTTACATCCGAATGTCACACATCCAAATGCCGAATAAGTTAAATTAAATCCAAATGTCATGTACAAGGCTAAATCCAAATGTCACAATACAATCCAATAAACCACACGCGTAACCTACATTCCCAGAGTGTAGCTAAACAAAACCAACACATGTGTTGAAATAAACCTAACGTCACACACCAGGTCTAACACATCAAGAGTCACATACACACGACACGCCTGCGATAGTCTAACCCGCAACACGCCTGTACCCAACCCTTAGCATCGTCTGAGTCTAGCCGTAAGCCTACACATCCCTGTCGACAGCAGTAGATATCACACTGCTGAGGATGTTTTTATCGGTGTCACTGACTGGTCTATCGCGTCGTCGGTATGTCTGGGTATAGAAATAAACGGCCTACATAAATATTCACTAATTCTATGAATAGCACTGGGTAGGCGAGGAAACTGACAAAACAACAATAATAATATTGCTAGTCCAACGATATCGTATGAAAGTTACACAACTGGTTATGTATAGTGAAATGTAGGTCACCGCACGATACCGCCCCACATCCCCGCCCCGTGGACTAATCAATACGTCACACCTGTCCCTTGAGTGTCTTTTTTTACCTGCTGTGGGTGAGTCAGGTGGGAGGCGGGAGTAGAGTAGAAACTTTTATAGCTTACCCCCCCCCCCCCCTTCTTTCCAAACACTAGAAAGGGTAGAAACGAAAACTTCCGAGACCTTCCAGATTAAAGTGAAAAGTTGAAAGAAAAATTGAAAGGGGGTGGAGAAGTGTAGTAAAATACCTTGAATTTAAACGTCCAGGTGTTATAAAGTAAAGCTGCTAGTAAATTATTAGGGGTGGGGTAGAGTTCAGGAACAATATATTTATTTTCCGTAATTCCGTGCGATACGCTTAGATTGGGAAGAGGACGATAAAATAAGTTTTCTGGATGTCGCATTTCATTTTTTAGCCTAGAATTTTTCAAGAAAACATGCAAGCAGAAAAGCCAAACCCAACAATTTTTCCCCAACAATAAATAAATGAGATGAAATATGAAACCAGTCCCCCTCTCCCATCCCCTTTGGTTATCGGTTAATCAAGACTCAAGACCCCCACCTGGACCAACTGTTGCTGGTATTAAATTAACACAACACCGGTTAATCACCGCATGAGTTGGGCTCTGGTTGATTTGATTTGTGGTGATTGTTTTTTTCCCATACTCTATACAAGTAACGCATAGATTATGACGTAATTTGTTTGGCGACACGTTGTAAAGAAGTGAAGTATAACGACGCCAGCAATAATATCCTTGACACAACCACAGCCACATTCTCTATATGTGTCGTCTGTAGAGACACCGGACTGGCGACATCTAAGTTTTTTTTACTTTGAACATCTGGCCAACACATTATACTAGAAACTTTACTTTTGGCCGTCTATTATTTCTAAGTCAAACCACCACACCTAAAAATCTGGATTTTGAGATTTAAATCTTATAATTTCTAAAACAGTGCATTTCAACGCTAAGTCATTAAGCAAAGTGTACGAACGTCATTCAAACGATTTATATGAATGCAATTAGTAAGCCTAAACTAAGCCCATTTTCAAGTAAATAAAAACACGACTTCTATTGACCAAATAAAAAAATTCATTACATGCCTACCCAATTAGTGATGTTAAAAATAGCAAACTGATGGGTAATCAATTACGTGGCGCCATCATCAACAAATCGATCGATACATGATTTAATATAATTAAATATGCCAGAGAAAATAACGTATCCCCCCTCCCTTTTTTTCTAGACGCCAGTTATCTTTAAATTAGGCGCCATGATTTCTAATCGTGGACGACAATTATCTTAAATTTTACGGCTGTTTTCAATTATCTTTTAAAAGTTTACGACTTCCAATTACAAGAACATGCACACGTAAGCAAACGGGAAATAGAATATGTCCACATGTTCGCAACTGAATGACTTAAGTTTTAAATTCAGTCAGAAATGCAGTGACAGTACAAAAATGGAAAAACTACTGATAGAGTTTATTACCTGTTCGACAATCCCACGAAAATAAAATCGCTATCCCCCATGACAGAAGTGACACCGTGTGTAGTGGTCAGTGACTACTGCTGTACACGGTCACTACCTGCCCCTTTTACGTCATGCTATCTACCCCCCTGGTCCAATCAGTTTGTTGCGCTGGTCAAGCTACCTACCCCCCACCCCCACCACCCGTTTGATGACTATGTGATTGTCTAGGCCAAACAATAGGTCAAGGTGTTGGTCATTGTAAGGTCTAGACTTTATAGGTCAAGGTGTTGTCGCTGTAAGGTCTAGACTTTATAGGTCAAGGTGTGGTCACTGTAAGGTCTAGAGTCTAGACTGAACTACAGGTCAAGGTGTTGGTCACCCTGATGTCTAGGCTTAACAATGTCCTTGTGTAAGTATTTAGATTTAAGGAGCAACCTTAAGTTAACACAATAATGTACACTAGGTACGCACGTCGTACTTTATATATTAAGAAAATATATTAAAATAAACGACTTATGAATATTTGTAAACTGTGACCATGACACGACAAATGGATCTCTCTTAAAAAAATGGATCTCTGATGTCATCATCATCATCATTGCTGTGTACATCTTATCGAACACAAAGACGCAACCACACAACATCATCTCTTGAACAACACAAAAAACTTGACTGGGCCTACTTGTCACCATGCTATCTACTGCCATTGTTTTTTTTATCGTGTACATTTCAGTAATACCAAACGTTTCATTGTCACATATCACTGATATCCTAACCAAACAAGCAAGATGTAAGATTTAATGACTAAGTGTTATTTTTAAATCAAATCTGTCACATGACAAGGGCATCTGGTCTAGCTACATGAAATGTGTCTTTATATGCTGAATACTAATGCAGTATAGGCAACACATATAGAGTAACATAGGCACTACCTAATTCATACAACACACAGATGTAAAAAAACATCATCGCAATCAAAAGACTACTCACACACCAGACAACCAACACACATACACCCACAGAGAAATATGGACACTATCCACAAGATACCCAAACGACCCCCCCCCCCAAACACAACATACCCCCTCACACAACACCCATATACACCACTGACCAACTGACCTTTAAGAGACGACCATACACCACAGATCCCATACACCATTGTCCAACTGACCTTTTAGAGCCCACTACCGACCACACCCCCACACACCAGTGACCAACTGACCTTTTAGAGACCACTGACCTTTTAGAGACCACTGACCCTTTAGAGGCCACTGACCACACACCACTGACCTTTTAGAGGACACTGACCACACACCACTGACCTTTTAGAGGCCACTGACCACACACCACTGACCTTTTAGAGGCCACTGACCACACCCCCATACACCACACACCAGTGACCAACTGACCCTTTAGAGGCCACTGACCACACACCACTGACCCTTTAGAGGCCACTGACCACACACCACTGACCTTTTAGAGGCCACTGACCACACACCATTGACCTTTTAGAGGCCACTGACCACACACCACTGACCTTTTAGAGACCACTAACCACACCCCACACACTACTGACCGACTGACCTTTTAGAGACCACCGACCGGACAGCGTTCCATTTGTTCTTGAGGTCCTCTAGCATCTGATTGAGCACATCCCTCTCTGGATCTGACTTGGTGCACCTGTCCTTCAGGTTCCTGCCAAGCCTGGTCGTTGAGAAAAACGTTGGGTGTTTGGCCGTCAGCTGATGGTTGAACTTCTACAAGAAAGTTAAAACATTTTCTTAGATAATCATCTGGAGTGGTTTAGCTTTTGTTTAAGTCATCATAACTATTTCATACACGTTTAAAGAAGGTACATAGGCAAAAAGAAAATAGAAATTTGAAGTAAATTTAAACATGCTATGGAAATACTGTGAAATAAATAGTACTGAAACCAAGAAACTGCGTTAGACACGGCATTCAATTAAAAATAAAAATAAATTTTAAAAATGTAGTGCATAGGCGGATCTAATGGTCTTAAGGACAGATGACCGTGTTAACCATATTCAGTGACCACAGCATTTGAAGGGATTTGGTTGTCAGTTTTACAACCCGTAATAAACCCAGTATAATTTAAAACCTTTAAAACTTAATATATTCGCAGTATGTATAGAGTGGGGTCTTGTATAGTAAAGCTAGAGGTCTTTAATTAACGTCAGCTGCTGTGGCTCTGTGATTGTTTGAAGTTTTTTGTGGGCGTGTTTCCCGCTGGAGAAGAAAGGCGCGGTGTAAAACAGAAGCCGATGTATATGATACAATCTCGTGTACCTAAGGTCAGCTTCAGCTTAATGACCGACCAATGTTTAAAACTGACAAATACATGACCGTACTCGGTGGTCAGATAAATTGGCATGTGGTCAACCGATTCCCCCCCCCCCCCCCCTTATCAAAAATGGACAGCAAACATTAAATTCTCAAGTACGATGGAATAAACCCTGTCAGAATGACCCATGGTTAGACTGAATGACCCATGGTCAAGCTGAATGACTCATTGTCAACTCATATTCACCAACAATTCCTCCACCCACCTCTTTCTGTATATTACATAACTTATCAATTAGAATGTGATGCTTTAAATATTTTTTAAAATAGCTAAAATTGTCCAATTTTAAAAATGGAAGTAAAATATTAAAATAAATGAATCAAATGATTTTTTTTTTACATGTTTGGACAATTACTCGCTTACACGCATCACGTTTTAAATTAAATCAACAAACGCCATAGGCAACAACACTATAATCTACGTGCGTACTGACGTAATTCAAAACGATGGAAAAATAACTTGTAACAACTGGGTCACTTTGTAAACTGTAATCAAAGGATTGTATACCCCCCCCCCCCCCCCTTCCCGACACACCTTTGATGGCGTCAAGGTGACGGTCCATCTGTGTAGTAGGTGAAGGTCGCGTGAAGTTTATACAAGGTAAGGAAACAATCCTAAAATATATCCCCCCCCCCCACCCTCTTCTTCCCCAGGGAGACGGTAGCTTGGTTTGTTGACCATACAACACTGAACACAAACAATTAGAGTGCGAATGTGGAAAATTTGAGCGACTCACTGAACATATTTTTAGAGACTGGGAATTCCCAGTGCAGTAAAATGAACAGCGATATTTTAAAAGCCAACAATGCATCATACTATTCATATAGAACTTTTACAGTTTTTGTTTGTGTTATTTTACAAAAAAAATCTGCGACTCAAGTTATTAAAATCTGAAAACTCAAACTAATGTCATTTTACATTTTTAGAGTTTTTAGTGTTTTCATAAATAAACGATACAAATAAATCTACCATACCCGCATATAATTAGCCTATAATTAGTTACCAGGATAACCAATTGTCAATCATAAACACATGGTTTAAAGTATCGTTATGGCGATACCATATTTACGTATGTATGACAGAAGAGTCGATTACAACAAAATCACCAAAAGTAAATGTAGCTTCAGGTTAAGGGAGAGGAGACTGATTTTGTCCCTGCTATGTTCCACACTGACGTCATTACAACACGAAGCAGACGATATCTACCAACATTGCCATCTTATAATACACGGGGTAAGTGTTATGGTGTTATATAAAGTAAGAAGAGGCGTAGCGACCCCTCCCGGCGCCCGGGGACAAACTTTCAATTTGGCGCCCCCCCCCCTATATATTTTTTAAATATTTATAATTCAAAATAGCAGCTGAAACGAGCTTACTTTGGCGCTCGGGGACATATGTACCCCCCCCCCCCACCGTCGCTACACCTCTGAAAGACAACTACGCCTGTAATGTGAAACCCCAACTAAATCGGGTGGTAATCTAGTCACACCTGGATAATGTTTCACCTGCCGATTAGTTAACTCACACCCATCCCCTTTGGTACAACGACATGACCGTAATTTGTATCCCCTACAATCAAAGCCCAACATGATCACCCGGATTTAAGCCCGGGGGTAGCCCCCCCCCCCTCCCCTCTAGTCCATTACCGACACATTGAACCACCGGTGAACTAAAGTGACCATCTTTGATTTCAGATCGATGCTTCAGGAAATCGATCTCTGAGACAAGCATTTCTAAAAATAGATGCCTAGGTGAGACCACGGGAAAACCATCAGAAATTCCACTCAGCCCACCACGCACGGTGTGATAATCCAGTAAACATAGCTCAGGTGTTAGCTCACCGTTCAGACTTGTTCATTATTCAATGCACTGGTGGGTGGTTAAAAAACTAATACGATCGATTGACGTATTAACTTTATGTTAGTGTTACGTATAACATTGACACTAGTTTTAACCTACGAGATACCGACTGAAAAAACACCTCAATTTGATACTGTACACGTTGTCAATTTGACGATTCTTGTAGGTCATATAGATATTTGATACATTTTGGTACTCATCCGTACCAGGCGACCACTCCCCAAATTCCACAAATCATCTGCGTATCCAGCATCCATTGCCCAACCTCCATATCTCATCTCCGTGTATTCTAACATCCACAGCTCACCAAACAACATTCTCAGAAAATGTAAACCCTAATCCTAATCGCTATAACGCTAGGGAAAATAACCCAGATATAAATTATAATACTATGTGACACTGAATGGTCCATAGGAGACTGTACATTTAATTTTAGAATCGTCATTAAAAAAAAAACAACTTTTAAATCAACTTACTAAGCAATAAAAAAAATCGCGATTTAAAGCAAGCTCAATAATAATAAAACGCGAGCTACTACTTTCTACGCCCCGGACTAAGACCACATTGATACGAAACTAAACCCCATAAGGACTCCGCAAGGCAGTGAATCTCACAAACTCAATAAAATTAATAGCAACTATCGCATAGCACAGAAACCACAAGCCAGCGAATCTTACAAATACCATAATGAAATTCTATCTAATGGGACCAAGTAGCGAGGGCTTGGGTAGTCTTTTGTGTCTATTGTAGCGGCGGTTCATACCGCAGTCTATTAAACACATTCCTGTCAGATCTATCTCTTTAGAAGTAACCTAATGAGCCGTAGAGTCAGTGTCAAGCTTTTGTTGCTTCTACTGTAATGATATGTGTGTGTGTGTGTGGGGGGGGGGGGGGAAGGTATTAACTATGTAGTGTAAGGGAACGGTGGGGGAGAGGTAAGGGGGGACATAGATACCTTCCAGGCCCAATGGATTATTTAAATGCACGCTCAAACTACGGCCTAGTGTGAAAAAGTACGAGGTCTTTGAGTGAAATGAAAAGTATGCGGGTTTTATATTTCATCAATCCAATTACCCGTGTGTATTCGGTTTAATTTATTGTGTAAATACATGGACATGAATATAATCAGGAATGGTTAAAACGAAAGATTATCCTAGTAAAGATAAAGGAGCGGATGGCGGTAATTATCAAGCATTTAGAAAAAATGCAAAAAAAAAAAAAACCCAACATAATAAACAACCTATTAGTCCTTATTAAAAGTTATCAGGACGTGGCGACAATTTATCACCGTCTAGTTTATTTTTTTAGCCTTAGTGCTGTGAAAGACTAACATGCCGCTAACTTCCAACAGATTGAAACCAATCAAGTTTATCAGACCAAATCATATCTTTAAATGAACATTCCATTTCTAAAGGACTTTAAATTAGTTGGTTCCTATCTAGTGACAAATTAAAGCTTAGAGGATTTAACATAGATATCTCGCATTACCTCCCTTGTTAAGAAAAAAAAGTACTTTATATTTTGAAGAGTTATTTCCCCTTTGTATAATATAACAATAAAACGTATTATACTTCTATGATGACCTTCTTGTGATAAATAAACCCGTGGCTAATATTTTGCGGACAAACGACAAACTGGTTGTATGGGTACTGTCGGCTTAGTATAAGTGGGCTTAGTCACACTGTCTCCTAGCCTTCCAGTAAACAATGATGCATGTCTTAAGTCTTAATGCCTACAGGTCGCGTCGAAGCTGTTTTATATGGTATCACTCCACCCCTCCACCATGGCGAAATAGAAAATAATATAATTTATAAAGAAAATATACACTTAAAATAGTGTACAGACTCCGGACAAAAAATGTCTGAAAGAAACACGACCCCCAGCTATAACTTCGATACCGGCAAAACAAACTTTGATTGCAACAATGCATCAGTGGTTCTTTCTTGACCTTTTTGCGGTACCGAACACAATCACTTTCATATGCATTCACCGAACCCTTCTTACAGTTCTGATATAATCCTATCGTGAATCACATGAGTTGGGTGTATGTCTTGACCTGCGCCGAACCATTGAGACACTCACCGAACCCCCGGGGTTCGATCTTACCCAGGTTAAGAACCACTGCACTGCATTGTTTATGTATAAAAGTTAAAAACACATCAAGATAATCCGAACCTAAACATGTGTGTAGTATGACTAAGCCAACAGAGTGAACATGACACAAACATAAAGAAAAAAAAACATAAGTAGGAGGTTAGCCACCATCTGTAACGTGGACCAACTTGTTCATGGTCGACAGATGACGGCAGGTCAATTAAAATAACAGATTTACGGTGTTCGGAATTACAGTTAGGTGTGTTCTGACCTAGTTAAGATAATCTGAGAACACACGTGTGTGTATGTTTTTATAATCTCTTATCAAACATGATCTAAGTATAATGCTGAATGTTAGTTACTGGGTCCACTATAGCAACAAGTCAAGGCCATTGAAAGTATTAGGACGGCTATAATAACACTACTCGCTCATTGGTAAGAAAAGCCACGTTATTATAACAGTAGCCTATTTATCCTTAGGAGGAAAGGGACAACGATAACAGCAGTATTTGTAATTTAGAGGCCACGGACTTATAGGGTAATAGCACCGACCTCAGTCTATTTATAGAACCGCACGGGCACTTTTGGGACAAGGATCATTAGTCCAGCATCATCAGTACTGACCAGTGGGACCACCATCATAACAAGACCACCACAAACACGGGCCCGCAACTACCCTAACAGGACCGCCATTATCCTAACAGGATCACGGGCCCATCACTATCCTAATAGGTGCACCACTATCATAACAAGACCACCACGACCCCACCATTATCCTAACAGGGCCCTCACTATTTTTACAGGACCACCACTGACTTATTCTAACAAGACCACCATCATAACGGAACCATCACCATCCTAACAAGACCACCACCATAACAGAACCACTACCGCAACGGAACCACTTATTCTAACAAGACCACCACTATAACGGAACCACCACTATCCTAACAAGACCACCATCCTGTGTTAAATCCCCCGTTAACTCAAGTGTAAACAACACATCGCTTCCTCCTCGGGCGACCGTCAGCACTCAAGGTCCATCCTCTGTCAGCACGCCACGAGAGTATGTGTCTACCTGACGCCACACCTGCACACAATACCGTCAATAATAACAACAGCTGACTGTAATTTACTCTAGAACCCAACTCACCCAAGGCAGGTTTTATAAAAATAATATGATGGACACTTTATTATTATTTTAAAAATTAACTTCAAACACATTTTAAATTTCTGCATTGGTTGTATTGCCAGCGTGAATACTATTGTCCTACATTTAAAAACAAAAATTAACTGGTGCGTTAAGTAAGTGTGAAGTAAAACAACACACTTGCTATGACATTTTTTTCAACAATAACTAACCATATATTTCACACCAAACAACACCCCTTTTTTTTGGAAGAATCCATTACCGGACTTAAGAAAAAAAAATTATAGCGTAATATTAATTGTAAAAACAGTTAGGGCCTATAGGTCTACAGTATATTTTATTTAAGCCTACTTGGCTTAGCTACAAAGATATTTTATTGTCAAACAGATTCTTTAATTCTAAAGATTAAACCAGTCATTATTGCCTAACTATAATTAGATCTATAGTTAAACAGTAACTGTACTGACTAGATCTAGATCTATATGATGTATGTATAGTACTTTTCGTAGTTTAATAGTAACTATTATTTAAACCGCACAATAACGAGTCTAGAAAGTCTAGTAATTAAAACTAATTAAGCACCAACAAACCTTGTGAATGATGGATCCGAGACTTAATTAATAATTAGTTCAACTAAAAACACGTCCTGTTAAGATGTTGAAAGATTCCTACACCTACACTACACCGTTGTTTCTGAGTCGACTATAGGTACGCTAGGAAGCAACACACAAAATCCGCACTTAAAATTCGGTGTGTCGTCCAGGTGTGTCGCATTTACCTGGCCAGGTTACCTGGATGTCAAACTGATGATGAGACGGAATATCGTTAGTGTGGTGAGGGGGGAGGTATCGATCCAGGACGTCTGCGAATCCGCTGGCGGGAAATCCTGATGACGCAGCAGTAGTTGATTTCTGCTAACGTTTGCCAGTCATCACCGGGTCTCTACGCATTATCTGCGATTTCATATCACGATTTGTGGTAATTTTACGCATGACACACAACATGTGTTCAGTCTGAGTGAATATCACGTATCGATACCAAAGTAGTTGAGTCTACGCCTGAGCGTGTTTTTTTTTTTATTCACAACCTGGCCGTTAGGGGGGCCAGACGACCAGCCGACAGACGACGTATTGTGTTGCCACGGTTAGTGTCGTGATGAGGGCGGTGTAGTGTCGGCCCCCACAACACCTTGACAGCCTCAGTTCACCTGGGCGGCACATCCTCAGGTAGATCGTACTGGCTGATACACGAGTTAATTAGGTCTATCAGTGGTTGTTTTTAACCGGTACTCATTTGCCAGCTACGTGCCAAGTGCTTTAGCTGGTAACGTCAGTAACATGTAGTAACAGAGGCATCTCTTCGGCAGAGCCCCCCCCCCCCCCCCGAAGAAAGTTTAAATAATAAAATATACTTTTAACACTGTGCGCCCCCCCCCCCCCCCCAGAAAAATTTCAGGTGCACCCCAGAGAAAAAAGTCTGGAAGAAACACTGGTAACAATACTTCTAACACCAAACCTAAACATGAAGACATAACACCAAATACCCCACCTATATAATTCACAAGTGATCATCATTTCCCGTTCATACCCAAGACAAATGGGACAGATGAGGTGGAGTTCATTTCAGGGATGGTGTGGTCAGCACGATGCCCAGCAGCCGTTTTCCGTAACTTCATTTTTGCTAGTAGAGCTATTATTCCCCTAGCCCTAATCCTAAACACAACTCACACAATAACCCTGATCATCAGTAGCGTAGCGAGGGGGGGGGGGCGGGGGGGGGGGGGGGGACATATGTCCCCGGGCGCCGACCTTAGGGGGGCGCCAAATTGAAAGTTTGAGGGGGGGGGGGGTGCAAATGAAAAGTTCGAGGGGGGGGGGGGGTGCAAATCGAAAATTTTCTCTCGAGGGGGCGCCAAATTTGAAGTATGTCCCCGGGCGCCGGGAAGGGTCGCTACGCCTCTGCTGATCATATTCAACTTCGATACGATACTGTCTTTTAACTAGAACAAAATGCTTATATTTTCAATACTCACCCGTACAAGGATGTATGGATGAATGATTACGAGCGATACCAACTAAACGGTTAGGGTATATCTAATGGTAACTTTATTTTTAACATCACCTGTCATTGGACTTGCCTGACTATCTCTGGGTAAAGTTGGGTTACCTTTAAAAAACCCAGTAATTTGTACGTACACGAGTCAACATAAGCTTCGAGCCCGCACCTCTGTGATTAGCATTCTGAGCGTAGTCCTGGAAGGAAACATGGTCGCATTCTTTCAATGGTTCTCACACGGTAAGTCAGGGGACTGGGGTGAGAGTCAGGGGACCGGTGTAAGAGTCAGGGGACCGGTGTAAGAGTCAGGGGACCGGTGTAAGAGTCAGGGGACCGGTCTTAGAGTAAGGGACC